ATGTCCATGTATATTCTATACTTAGTATATGTACTTTGTACGAAGGAGATATTTGGTACATATGTAAGTGCTCGTACGTACTCCGTGTGGGAATTCAAAGGCAAAGTTGTCACATCCGGGAGTCTCCACTGGAAATGTCAAGATCATCCACCGGAATGCACCAGCCACAATCACAGAGCCCTGTGGCTGAATAAAATGAAATAAACTACGCTAAGCCGCTTAAAGGAACAATAATGACGGAAGGGGCGAATATGCAAGTCAAGGTACCCTGCATGGTACTTGTGACAAAATCCATGGACTTTTAAGAAGGGGGGTTGGAATTGTAAACGGGGAAAAATGACAGAGTAAAAAAAGGACACGGGGTGACTCGACAGCTACACCCTGCACAATTCCGGGTTTGATCTGTGCAGCCCAAAACATTGAATTACCTAGGTAGCTTATATGTACCGAATACGGATGAGTCGAATTATACAAAGAGAATTAATATTATTCCCGGAGGTGGTCTCCGCTATGTACGGAGGATTAAGTACGGTACTAAAAGTGCTGGGCAAAGGGGGGGGGAATAGGGATCTGAGAAAAGCCAATGCGGCTGCACGGCCCTGTGGGCTACACGGAGGACAGTCGCACTAACGTACCTTAGAGGCAACCACGGGGGTAGTCTCCACTCGGCGTCTTTTACCGGAGGTTCGTGGGTTCGTGTTGGGAATTCACTTATTGTAATAGAGGATTGTTATACTTATATAGAACGATATAAAGTACATAGTTTTACCATTTATATGCATGATTCTTTCAATGGGTGGGTTTTAGAGTCTGAAAAAATAATGATTAGAAAAAGGGAAAAAAAAGGGAAAAAATGATAAAACGGAAAATAAAAATAAAAATAAAATATAAAATAAAAAGAAAAGAAAAAAAGAAAACGAGCATAACCGCCTCCAGATCTTTCTCCATAACGCTAAGCCGTTCCTGAGCGTCAGCTTGGATTAGATAATCAGTCGTGACGGCCGGGAGCTACGCAACCACTAGCGTCTCTTGGCGAATTTCACCTTTCCTGCCAGCCCCTCGACTCTTCCTTCTCTCTTCCCTTTCGGCTTTCGGATCTTCAATTCTGGCTTCCCCTTTCCCCACGGTATCGCCTTGTATCTTCGCCTATTTCATCAACATCTTATTTTTTTTCCATTCCACCTTCGCGCGTCTAGCTCTACATAGCTGTGACCTCACCTACCCCCGAGATTGTGTCACTGCCATCTCGCGCCACTCATTTATCTTCGGAAACGCGAGATCTAATCGATTTTGGAAAACTACCACCCTTCACTGCTGGATAGTGTCGCGTGAGGGACCTTACTTCTTTCGCGACCAGTCCCTCGTTTTTTTTCCCTTGCTCTTTGCCCCGGTCGATCGGAAATTGCGCCTCAGGATTGGCGTGCAACATCACAAGAGTGCACTCTATCGGTGTCTAATAGTGGTGTAAACTTGGATTGTATCATCGTGTCGCAAACCCACTTCGAGAGTTCGGTCGCGACACGGTTCAACTCAAACCATATTCACGATTCTCCGGAAACATGTCTCATACTCAACCATCACCCACCGCGGGTGTAGCTCCTCACCATGCGGCAGCGCATATCGCAGCACATGCACAGGCGCAGGCACAGGCCAATGGTCATATGTCAGCAATTCCTGTGCAAGGTCAAAAGGGAGTCCCTTCTCTCACAACCGCACAAAAGATAGCCACACTCAATGAACAAGTCTGGCTTCAAATAGGTAAGGATATCCGGCAGACTTGAGAAACTGGCGAATGCTGACAGTCCCGTTTGTAGGAAGCTTGACCGAATTGATGGGCGACCTGGAGGGTGCGATGAATGCTTATGAGCAGGCCCTGCGTCACAACCAGTGGTCTATCTCAGCCATGAATGCCATTTCATGCATCTTACGGACAAAAGAGCAGTTCCCCAAAGCGATTGAGTACTTGCAAAATATTTTGAAGTTGGATCCGAGCAATGGAGAGACTTGGGGCAGCTTGGGCCACTGCCATCTCATGATGGATAACTTGCAAGAGGCATACACCTCTTACCAGCAAGCCCTTTACCACTTGCGCGACCCTAAGGTACGCCGTTTCCCCCTCACATCTTATTTGAAATATTAGTCGCTGACTCCAATTCCCCTCATTAGGAACCCAAGCTGTGGTATGGAATCGGTATCTTGTATGATCGCTATGGTTCTCTGGATCATGCGGAAGAGGCTTTCTCGCAAGTGATGCGCATGGCACCTGATTTCGAGAAGGCCAATGAGATCTACTTCCGCCTGGGAATCATATACAAGCAGCAGCAGAAATTCAACCAGAGTTTGGAGGTACGTGCAATCTGTTGGTATGAGTCTTGAGCTGTGACTAATCCACCACAGTGCTTCAAATACATCGTCAGCGATCCCCCACGACCTCTGACCGAAGAAGATATCTGGTTCCAGATTGGCCATGTTCACGAGCAACAGAAGGACGTAAGTCATGCTTCCTCCCACTCTTGATTCTTACCTTGTACTCATGAAATCCATAGTTTGAGTCTGCGCAATCCGCCTACCAGCGTGTCCTTGAACGGGATCCAAACCACGCCAAAGTTCTCCAGCAACTTGGATGGCTTTACCACCAGCAGAGTAATGCCTTCCAAAGCCAGGAGAAGGCCATCCAGTTTTTGGAGAAATCTGTCAATGCTGGTACGCACAATTTGAATTCTCTGTTTGAGTTGAATGCATTGAAACTAATCAATTCTTTTACCAGATAACAATGACGCCCAGAGTTGGTATCTCCTCGGTCGTTGCTACATGTCCATGGCGAAATACCCCAAGGCGTATGAAGCTTACCAGCAAGCCGTCTATCGCGATGGGCGCAACCCTACCTTCTGGTGCTCGATTGGTGTCCTCTACTACCAGATCAACCAATACCGCGATGCTCTCGATGCCTACTCCCGTGCGATCCGCCTGAACCCTTACATTTCGGAGGTTTGGTATGACCTGGGCACTTTGTACGAATCATGCAACAACCAGATCGCCGATGCGCTGGATGCATACGGACGCGCCGCAGATCTTGATCCCAGCAACGTCCACATCAAGGCCCGTCTACAGCTGCTTCAAAGTCAGCTGTCTGCCGGCACGGCTGGACAACAGCCGCCCACTGCCCCCGCTCCTCAGCCCCAGGATGTTCATCCTCAGGCTTATCAGGCACCTGGCGTCGGTGCACCTCCAGCTCCTCAGTGGGGTGCCCCGGCCCCCATCGGTCCCCCTCCACAAGCTCCTGCTCCCCCAAGACAGATTCCTGACTGGAACCGTGGTATCAACGATCTTCAGTCTCAGAGCCAAGGTCCCCCATCGAACGGTCTTGACCAGCGCGATGCTCGGATCCCCGGTGCTCCCGCTCAAAGTCCTCGACAGGAGCCTGGTCGGGCCTTCCCGGATCCCCGTGGCGCGCCTCGCTCGCCAAAGATGGGTGATCCCAATGCCTACCCGCCTCCTCACACCCTACCTCAGCTTGGAAATGCTCCGGGTCCAGGCCACGAACGCGCCCCTAGTGGCGGCAATGCCTTTGGTGGGCGAGGTGCTATGCCGGCTGGTCTACCCGCCGCTCCTCCTGGCCCCCCTGGACCTCCTGGGTCCAACGGCGCTGCTCCTCCTTACCAGAATCGTCCTTTCAGTCCTGCTCCTGAAATTCGCCCTATTCGCGATGAGCGTCCCTCTTCGCCAGGCTCAGGATACCCTCTCCAACAGTTCCACCCCGGTCCTACTCTCCCCCCACAAGTTCCAGGCGGGAACTCCATCGCCTCTGGTGCCCCGGCCCCTCCTTCAGCTGCTACTGCTGCTGAGGCTGCTGCTCGTGATCGCGAAGATCGCCCCCCATCCGCCATGAAGCGCGGCCGCGAATGGGAGGCTGATGCTGGTCCAGTCAAGAAGCATGAAAATCAAGAGAGCCGCGCTCGTCTGGATGACCAGAACAGCCGCCGCCCGAGCCCACCCGCTCGTTTGCCCTCTCCTGGTGAGATGCAACGACGAAGCTCCTCCGAGGCCCGCCGCGAGGACGCCCGTCGTGCCAATGAGAACTACCACCCCTCAGAGGCTGCTCACCACCCTCCTACTCTGCCTTCGATCCAAGACATGCCTCCCCGCCCTTCTGCTGGCCCCAGCCTTCCTCCGATGGCGGAGGGCTCTGTCCCCCCAGCCAACGCTCCCCCCTCCGGGCCTCCTTCCGCCAACACCCCGGTCAAGGAAGAAGCTCCTCGTCCCGAGGCCCCTCCTGCTCACGAGCCCCCCGCGCGCAAGATGGAGGTCGATGAAGACTACGATGACGAAGTTGAGGAAGAGAAGAAGGCTGCTGCTGCTTCCAAGGGCAGCCCCAATGGCAGCGCTGCTGGCAACCCCACTAATGGTGCCGGCAATGCCCGTGCCACTACTCCATCTAAGGTCGAGCCCACGGCATAAAAGGTGTTCCCTCTTCCAACTAAACTAATGTGGTTTGGTTAAAACTGGCAAAGCCCAAATCTCTCGCTTCCTTGCTCCTCCCTGTCCTTCCTCTTTCAGTGTGTGATGTACGGTATGAATGTGCGAGTTACGATGACTACCTGGTTTCAAGCGCGTGCGCTGAATACTCGTCATGTCTGTTCGTTCTCTTCTTTTTTTATGATTTCTTAGTCTCTTTTCACTGTGAATCTTTTTTTTTATGATGCATTAGGCATCCTTGAAGCAAATCATTTGTTTGATACTCTGAAATTTGGTAGAGTAAATTTTATAACGTCTCCTTATTTTTTTTATTCTTGTATTACCGTCCTAAACATTACGTATTTCGGCCTCCATTTCATTCCAGCCCACAATGTGGATGTCCTAAAAAACCATATTGCTGGCCGTTTGCCTTGGCAGCAGGAAGACCCATAAAAGTCTCCCAGGGGCCGGAAAATCTGGACGGCACGTGACAATACCAGGGCTGGTTAGATAATTTGGGTTATTGTGGGGTGCCTCAGGCTCGTATGCGCCAAGAGTCTCGCTTAGGTTAGCCCACACACCAAGCGTGCAAAATCAACTTCGACATTTCCAGATCGTCCTCCCACCACCTCGACGACTAACGATAACAGGGTCAAGATGTGAGTCTATCCCGATTGAAGATTCATATACAATCGCCATTGAATACAATTGCTGACCTGCTTTCGCTATTCAGGAGTCACCGGAAGTTCGAAGCGCCTCGTCACGGTTCGTGATCACCTTTTTCCTCGATATCGAAATTTCGAAATACCGAAATACGACCTCTGTGTGTGTGCAGTATACTGATTATATCTCCAGGCTCCCTTGCCTACCTCCCGCGCAAGCGCGCTGCCCGTCACCGTGGTAAGGTCAAGAGGTCAGTACATTCTGAATGGATTCGTGATTTGTGGATTTGTGTGCTGATACTTTTTTTTCGCGACAGCTTCCCCAAGGATGATGCCAAGAAGCCCGTCCACCTTACTGCCTCCATGGGCTACAAGGCTGGTATGACCACTGTCGTCCGTGACCTTGACCGTCCCGGTGCCAAGATGCACAAGAAGGAGATTGTCGAGGCCGTCACCGTCATCGAGACCCCTCCTGTACGTTTTTCCCGTTGTGTGCGAAAGTGGAGGAAAAAGCGACCAGGCCCTCTAACATGATTTTTCTTTCTAGCTCGTTGCCGTTGGTGTCGTCGGTTACATCGAGACTCCCCGTGGTCTCCGCTCTCTCACCACCGTCTGGGCTGAGCACCTGAGCGATGAGGTCAAGCGTCGCTTCTACAAGAACTGGTACAAGTCCAAGAAGAAGGCCTTCACCAAGTACGCCAAGTCCCACGCCGAGAGCTCCGGTGCCTCCATCACCCGCGAGCTTGAGCGCATCCAGAAGTACTGCACTGTCGTCCGTGTGCTCGCCCACACCCAGATCCGCCAGACTCCCATCAAGCAGAAGAAGGCCCACCTTATGGAGATCCAGGTCAACGGTGGCTCCGTCTCCGACAAGGTCGACTTCGCCCGCAACCTCTTCGAGAAGACCATCGATATCGATTCCATCTTCGAGAAGGACGAGATGATTGATGTCATCGCCGTCACCAAGGGTCACGGTTTCTCCGGTGTCACCTCCCGTTGGGGTACCACCAAGCTGCCCCGCAAGACTCACAAGGGTCTGCGTAAGGTCGCCTGTATTGGTGCTTGGCACCCTAACCACGTCCAGTGGACTGTGGCCCGTGCTGGTCAGGACGGATACCACCACCGTACCTCTTGCAACCACAAGATCTTCCGCATTGGAAAGGGTTCTGATGAGGCCAACGCCTCCACCGAGTTCGACATCTCCAAGAAGCAGATCACCCCGTATGTTCCTCCCTGATCATTTCTCCGTGTGTTTGTTTTTAATTCTAACATTTTTTAAGCATGGGTGGTTTCGTCCACTACGGTGAGGTCAAGAACGACTTCGTCATGGTCAAGGGCTCCGTTCCCGGTGTCAAGAAGCGTGTTATGACTCTGCGCAAGACTCTGTACCCCCAGACTTCCCGCCGTGCCACCGAGAAGGTCGAGCTCAAGTGGATCGATACCTCCTCCAAGTTCGGTCACGGTGCTTTCCAGACCTTCGAGGAGAAGAAGGCCTTCATGGGTACCCTCAAGAAGGACCTTGTCGAGACTGTTTAAGATGTTTAAGCCTATGGTTGGCGGTAGTGCAACGTTTCATATTCAATAAAAAAGCGAATATCCTTCACACGATTTGCATGTAGCTGTACATGGTCTATGTAAATTTATAAATATATCCAAGCTGTATGTGGAAGCATTTTCTACAACAATTCATATCCATTTCTCAATCATCGAATATATATTTCCCATTCGTATTTCCTATCACTCTGATATATATATATATATTTGGCGCGGGATGTCTGTACGCATCCGAAGTGTTCAGCTATTTTTTTCCCGCTTTTCCTAATTACTCCATATATCTGATTATATTCCTACAACACCTTCGATCTGTCTAATCGTTCAAATATACCATAATCCAACCTGAAAAGCCAGTGGTGGAACAAAATGCGCCAGCCCAAGATCCATTGCGTCATCCCACGCTTTTCCCTGCCAGCTTCAGCAAGAAAACGGGCTTTGCCAATCTCCTCCTACACCTCACGATCAACCTTCCAAATCAAACATCCTCAACCTCAACACCGTCTCCTATACAGTCTATACCACCAAACGAGCCAAAGAACTCGCATCCCAAACATAGAGCACCAAACCCACATCTTCCCCACAACCTCAAGACTGCAACTACAAACCAGCTCTTCCCTCTCCACCAAGTCCCTCTTCTCGACTACAACACAAACCATGTCGTCCGACGACGCCTACATGTCTTTCCTGAACAAGGCCAACGCAGATTCAAGCGGCAGCCAAGCCCCACAGCAAGGGGCCGGCACCGTCAAAACCGAGACCGTGCACAGCTCCCTGTCAATCCCAAAGCCGCTGCAGTCCGTCAACGCATACTATATCTCCGATACAGACGAGCCCTTTGAGCCTGTGGCATTGAAGTGGGATGGCGCTGCCAAGGGATCATGGCCTAGTGCTGGTATGTCCCGATTCTGTTCCGTTTCGCAGTTCCTTCATATCCCCCACTACTCCTTCATGGACTTGCTCCCCTGAAACCTCCAAGACAAATACCCTAGAATCGCCCTGTTAACACCCCTCTCTCACTGCAGACCAACTCTCCTCCCTGATCTCCCCAGATACCAACCTGTCCCAGTCCATCTCCACTTTATCCCCCTCCTCCTTCGACCCGAACAACCAGTACTCCGCCGCCCTGGATGCGGTCCGCGCCGCGGCTGTCGAGAAGGATTCTGGTGCCGACCAGTCTGCTGTTGAACTAAAGGTCTACCGTGTTGAACAAACTAGTACCAAGATCGAGTACTGGGTTTTGGCACTACATGCGCCCGAGAGCCGTCTTGTCGGTCTCCGCGCTAAGGCTGTTGAGTCCTAAGTGTTCAGGCTGTGTGTATCCCTAATGGAGAGGAGAGGTCTTGGAGTTAGTACAGGACATAATTTGCGTTTTTCTATTTGAGGTGTAGCTGTTTATTCTATCGAAATATGATACTATACGAGAAAGCATCGAGGTATATCGCTTGGACGGGTATCCTGCTGCCTTGTTCTTTGATGTTGATAATATCGAGAATGGATAGCCAGGGAATTCATCCTAGTTTTCTCTAGGTGTAAGGCAGTTTTGGGAGTTTCTTCCAGGGTTCTTCGGGATTCGTCGCATTCTTAAGCCCTGAGGGTTGAGGTTTTTCAGGACGCGTGTCAATGGCTGTGTGAAACAGGTTAAATCCGTCGATTGGTCTTGGAAGGAACAAAGCTGGCGCAAGCAGATTTTATTGGTAATGATTCGCGTAGATGCGCGTGTTAGAAGAAATTAGATACATCTATATTGCGCTGGTAGACTGGTTTCGGACAATGTCTCTCATCTTTCCCGCTGATTGACCCTTCGCTTCAACAACTTCTGTGCATCTATACATAGCAACTTTTAAACCGCTAACGATGCTCTTCAGGTTTACGACGATGGCGATCCTCGAATTCCGCTTAGCATTCACGACGGGACCATTCTTCGGGCCCTGGGGAGCAACGGGAATGCCACACCCTAGAATAGCCCTACCCAGGGCGAGAGAGCCTGTATAGGGCGTCAAACCCACCTACCTACTTGAATTGATTGAAACAGACAGGTAATGGTATACAAAAGATGGGCGTAAACCATAACAGGGTCTGAATAATTACTCTACTATCATCCACAGTCCGTAAAGGCTCGGGGAGAGAGAGGTATACACATACCACTAGTTGCCCCCCCCTTGGGTATCTGTCATTCCAGTCTCATGCACACAAACAAGACCCCTCGGACCATCTAGGCTCTTCTTTTCTTCTGTGGTTTTGGCTTTTTTCCTCTGTTTAGACTCTGTCTCTTTTATCGTATCGCCGACGGACATTCGATGCTATTCGACCAGTCGTGTCCGTTCTTTCGCTAAAACGTCGCACTCATCGTCCTGTGTAGTATACCTACTTAGGTCCTCAGTCCTTACAGTTCAGATATATAGCGAAATCATTGCGTGACGAACGGGAAGAAAGAAGAAACAAAACACCACATCGTCATATCAACCTGCCTCACGGATTCCACCGACGACTAATGCGAGAGCGCTGTTCTTACGGCGGCAATTAAAGAGGGCAAGGCCTCGTGCAGAGCAACGGAGCGTGCCAAAACTACTCAATCAGGAACTCGAATATCAACAATCAGATGTCGGACCACGGCTCTGATGCCTCAGAGGGCAAGGCGACGCCTCACATCCGACTCAACTCCGGGCGGCAGGATCCTTTCCTCGAGACGAATGGTGGCTACGCGCCTCTCACATCGCGGACATTTCCCCGGCCTTTGACTCCACAGGGCCCCGAAACTCCAGCGCCGGGACGGGCTCGAGGGATGTCGATGTCACCATACAGCACATCAAATGTCCCCGAGTCCTCGGAATTCCTGTTACCCCCAAGGTTGAGACCTTCACAGGGACAGGGTGTGAGTGGGAGTGATCGGCCTCGATCTCCGGACCGGTGGTCTGCAGCTCGCTCGAGTATCAGCTCTATCAGCCGTGATAGTAATTTCCGCTGTGATCCGTTCCAGGACTCGAGGGCGCCTTCGCACGCTGGTAGTGAGGAGTATGATGTCAACACGCAGACTGTATCGGGCAAATTCAATATCATGCCTACAGATGGGTTGTTGTTGTTCCCTGAGGATGTGGAGAAGGATGACTACTTGCATAACCCGGACCCGACGGACAAGGATCGAGATTGTGATATCTGGAATCGAAGGGGTATTGTGAATGTCGGTGGTCTGGCAATTTTCACACTAGGTCTTCTGGTGCTCTTCATCGGTTACCCGCTCATGTAAGAAGTTGGCTCATTTGACGGTCTCTCCCCCTGGCTAACTAGTAATCGCAGAACTTGGTTGTCGGGCGTCGCAAAACATCATCACAGTTCATGCCACCCGGAAGATACGTTGTGTTTGAATGTTGGGGAGCGACCATTGTTGGAAAACCTACGCATGAGCCTCATCGACCCAGACACACCGAAAGAGGCATACACCAAGAAAGATGCCAAGGGAAAGGAGATGAAGCTAGTGGTGAGTTGGTTAATAGACACTAACAGCGATAAGTAGCTGACGTTCCATTGCAGTTCTCTGACGAGTTTAACATGCCCGGTCGAACGTTCTTCAAGGACGATGATCCGTACTTCGAAGCAGTCGATATATGGTACGGGGTAACAGCCGACAAAGAGGTAAGTACAAACTGTCAGGAACCACCGCTCCAACGCTGACACTCCTTAGTGGTATGACCCCGATGCAGCAACCACAGCAGATGGCACTCTCCAGCTTCGATTCGATCACTTCAAAAACCACGATCTCGATTATCGCTCCGGTATGTTACAGAGCTGGAACAAGCTCTGCGTCAAGGGAGGCCGTCTCGAAGCTAGCATGTCCCTCCCAGGTGATGGACACATCGAAGGTTTCTGGCCTGGTTTCTGGGCAATGGGCAACCTGGGTCGTGCTGGCTATGCTGCTACCACAGATGGCATGTGGCCGTACAGCTACCATAATGGCTGCGATGCGGGCATCACTCCAAACCAGAGTTCTCCCGATGGTATCAACTGGCTCCCCGGTATGCGGTTGCCTGGATGTGCCTGTCCTGGCTCTGATCACCCGACCCGTGGCGTCGCACGCAGTGCTCCTGAGATCGATGTGATTGAAGCTAGCACTGCTCCGCTATATGGTGATAGCGGCCCCTACGTCGGTACTGCGTCGCAGAGTTTGCAGACTGCACCATTTGATTTGTGGCAAATGCCGGACTATGGTGAGTATCTTTCGATTCTTTCCACTTTGCAAGCCATTCTCTAACCAAAGAAACCCAGACTTCGCCGCCGTTTACGATCCCCGCGTGACCAAAATTAACGACTACCGAGGTGGTGTCTACCAACAGGCAGTTTCCAGCCTAACCAACCTAAACACCCGCTGGTACAACGGCACAGAATATCAAACCTACTCCCTCGAGTACACACCCGGCGCAACAGGCGATGTGACCTGGTTCGTCGGCGCCGAGAAGACCTGGACACTCGATGCCCGCGCCATCGGACCCAACGGCAATATCGGGCAACGCATGATCCCACTCGAGCCCATGTCCCTGATCTTGAATTTGGGTATGGCGGATAACTTTGCACCGCAAAACAAGAGCATTATTGATTATATGCCTGCTATCCTGCGCTTCGACTACGTCCGGATCTATCAGGATCCCGATGAGGAGAGCGTTACTTGTGATCCACCGGGTTATGAGACAACTAGGTATATTGAGGCACACCGCAAAGCGTATGATAATGCGAACTTTACGACTTGGTATGTCTACCTCGCTGGTTTGTGTTCTTGTTTGTGCTTTACTAACGATTGAACTTTAGGGACGAGGCTGGGTATTCTTGGCCTAAAAATTCATACATGCATGACTGTCTGGCTCATTAGATATTCTCTTTCTCTTTGTCTAGCCTAAACTGTTAGTCGTATTAGCGGCATTGTTTTCTGGCGTTGTTGGATCTTGGGCATCACATTATATTTATTTTCGTCATTCATCATCGATTCAATAAAATTGTTCGGTACTTTTCATTCTTTTCTTGTGGAGTCCGTTCCATCTAAAAACTTACCAAATAACACTATATTGAATGAATTAGTGTCTCTAACAGTATAGGACTAACTTCGAATTGCAACACAATAATATACTTGATATCCACTAAGCCTAATTAGGGGGTTCAACAGTTGGATAGAACTCCCATTGTACGACCTCACCGCCTGCTCTATATGGCCACAGTACGGACCCATGCCAAGAGGGCACGAGGTTATCTCGTCAACACGCTGAGTCGTTTATATCTCGACTTTTATCTGGAGTGCTGTGAACGTGTGTGTTTGAGCCTCCTTACTGAGGCCAATTTTTCTCCCTACCAACCCCTCTCCCGGAGATAGTCAGTCTCTCGTGCACTTACCACCAATATCTGTCTCTCATCCACTGACACTGGCTATAGATCAATCTTGGGGTCATGCAATAAGATATACATAAAATTCTCTTTCAATCATACACGTGAAGCAAAGTCCACCACAAAGCCCTTTCATTACTTCCATTCTCCGTCATTGGTTACATGCACTCGCCGTCCAATCTCCGACTCCGCACCACCACATCTCGAATCAAGACACCGTCTCTATCTGCTTTTCACTTGCCACTGACGTATACCCCATTTCACTATCTTCAAAATGCCCGACCAAGTCCGACATCTCGCCTCAGACACGGAATCTGAATCTGAATCCGATGGTGGCATGCAACTCGACGACCTAGACCTAGATCGCGTCGACGGTCTACCAATGTACGACAGCGACGGTATGCCACTTGACGGTGAACTTCCAAATGTGGATGGTGAACCGATCTACCGTCCTTCGTCAGATGATGATGTTTGGGGCGTGAACGGAAACAGTTCAAATGGATCTGACACTGGTATGTCTACATCCTATCTCCCCTTGTCAAGTCCAACTTCCTATCTTCCTTCATCTCCATCTCCGAATCCTTGCTTCGGTGCACAACTACGCCGCAAAAAATTCAACCCAACGCAATACAACCACAGTCTACAAACTAACACTCCAAAAAGGAAGATTCTCCGGCCGCGCCCAGAATCCCTTCACAACATCATACAACCGCGCCGGCCCAGACGGAACAACAGAACCCCAAACCGCCTTTGAAAAAGATGCCCGCACACGCTCGCATCTCTGTGACGAAAAACATGCCGCTCTGGCTGTCCTCATGGACAATGAGCTATTAGTTACATATGCGCTTGCCTCGCGAGAAGTAGGTCACTACCCTGCCATACACTGACATCTCCTGTCCATCCCTTGAATGCAGCGCCAGTGCTAGTCCCAGCCCCAATGCCAATCCCAGCCACAACCAAACCGAACTAACAAACCAAGACAATCCCGCAAACACGCCGCCGCTTCCTGGCAAGATATCTCGCCCCCAACGATCCAGAAAAAGCAGAGGAACTCTACGACCCGCGGTTCTATATCGCGCCTGATGGGAAGGGCGGGGAGGGATCACTTATTCGTGGTCGGTATCGGGAGGTTATTGGGGATGTTAATGATCATAATTGGCACAAGCCTGCGCATTTGAGGGTTTTGGATGCGAAAAAGGCGAAGGGTGGGTCGCGCTCTGTTTCGGCTGGGTCTTTTTCGGGGGCGAATTCGCCGAGGGTTACCGGGGAGGGAGGGGCTTCGTTGGTTGAGAGGGGGAGGGGGAGGGATGTGGAGGATGAGGACGAGGATCTATGAGTTATGAATTGATGCTCGTTGTTATTTTTAGCGTGGTGTCTCTTGCATGGTTTTTCAAAGTTATCCGGAATATTTGAATCTTATTAATGGATGCTTGGCTACAAGTTATCCGCTACTAAAGACAGACGTGATACTATAATGTTTGGATTCGCTAAAACAGATAAAAAAATAAAATACTATACAGAGACGCCAGTCAACGATAGCACCATCAGCCCAGAGATGAAGAGGAAGAGAACAAAAGAAAAGAGAAAAGGGGTATCATCGAGAGGGCCCAGAAAAGAGAATAGCTTCTCTGGATTTTGCTTTTTGTGTTCGTTCTCTTCCTCCTTCCATCACTGGGATATTACCAGAGAGATCCAGGCAATGCGGTGGCAGTGCCCTCGGACTTGCGAACTCATCTTCGCATTCTGGGTTGAACAGCTGATCACAGACGCAGCCATCCGAATCGGAGGGAAAGATTGAAACAAGAGACAAAGCAAGATAGAGAGGGAGAAACCAATCAGAAGAAAGAGAGTAGAAGCCAAGACCAAAGCCAAGGCTAAGCCAAGTGAGGCAGTCCTACATCTCTTTCTCCTCTCCCCTCCGCTTCTCCGAGTGGAGTAGACTCTCCATGTCTCCAACTTGCTTACGCTCTGAGATCTCGCGGCTGAGCATGCGAGCGTAGTGGGCCTGGGCATTCATCAGTGTCAGTCCTCGAGGCGGCGGTTTGTATTCCGGGTCATTGTAAAGTGGGTGGTGTAGGCGGTGCGAAGTGGTGATCCGGACCCGACCGTCTCTCATGACGGGTGATTGTCATTGCAGGGGCTCCGAGCTTGAAGAGAGGCGGTTGAGATGGAGGTAGACATCGGTTCCGTAGCTGTGGTGATCAATTAGCAAGAGTTTATAAGAGTGAAAGTAGGGAGATAAAAAAAAAGAACATACCCTTCCATACTGATCAACTTCAAATCACCGCCAAAGTACCGTGCGTACAGTCGGCTTATCGGTAGGCCATATCCAAATCCAGCCATTGGAGCCTTGAAATCGTTCTTGTCGAAATCAGGGTCCAGGTTGGGCGTTTGCTCCACTGTCGTGTACATGTAGGTCCATACGAGAGGGATTGACGACCGGGGGATACCACCGCCTTCGTCGGAGATCTTGATAGTGATGTCCTCTTTGCCTTCGGCAACTATCACCTTGGTCACGGGGAAATCATCCTTATCGGCACCATGTTGTTCGACGACCGCCCGGAGCGAGTTCTTGAGGGTCTCGAAGAGCATGTGCGATAGGTGACCGGGGACATACATGAAGTTCAGATTCTCCTTGCAGACCAGCTGCACCTTGGGCGACTCGAAAAGACCATAGTAGTCCTCGCAGACGAAGCGGGCATTTTCAATGGCCTCCAGCGCGATATCGCGAACGTTGGTCTTGGTACAAATTATTCCGACATAGTTGGGGTGTTTGATGTACGTTTGTTCCGTGAGTGCGATGTGTTGGCCTATGAGCATTCGTATACCAATCCTTGACATGTAAAACCGGTCGAGGAAGGACTGAATCGTGGAGTCGATCTGCATGCGCTGCCGCGCACGTTTCCACTCTAGGATGCCTTGCGCGACGGTGGTCACGACCCCATCATGGCGTCGCTTGATCTGTTGGAGGGTCTTGGCAAATCGTTGGTTGTAGTCATTGAGTTCCGGGGGCCAGTCTCCGTGGTCGTCCGCAGGAAAAAAATACCGTCGGCCTGCGGTGTGTGCTTTTCCAACGCCATTTCCATTGCAGACGGTCACGGATGATCGGTATTGTCCTTCACGTACGCTGGGATTTGGAGTTGTTTCAGAGAGGATTTTTGAAGGGCCGCCGTTCATCCGACCTGGTCGTAACAGACGTGCTTTCACTTCTTGAGTCAGGGTGGGGCGAGGAAGAGCGATGATTTCCTAGTTTTTGGGGTCAGTACATGACCACGGGTTTGAATGTTAATGGGTGATCCAGATACCTCGAATGACTGCGCATACCAGTCCTGAACTTTTTTGATAGATGGCATCTCACTGAGTCCATCTGGCAGCTCACCCAGATCCTGCACACGATGTGCCAGACGGATCGGGAGTTCCTCGGACAAAAACTGAGAGGCGCGGAATAGGGTGCCTAGATGATAGTTAGATATGTGACTGGAGATATTGCCAGACCAATTCATACCTGTTGAAGGACGGTCACCAAATTGGACCATCTGCCTCAAAGAGACACCGGTTGCGGGGAAGCTGGCATAGTGTCTGATGGTTTCCATCAGCCTTTCTGAAGGCTTCCACATAGTGGCGTATATAGGCCGAATGGCCTGTAGGAGATGTGTCTAGAGAGTGTTAACCTGGGGAGAGAAGTTTTGAGGAGGGAAGTGTGAGTAATGCGAGTCATCGGAACGTTTTGAACTGCCGAGGTCAAGCGGTCCCCGGGTTCTCCGCTTGCGCTCTCCGGGGATCGGAGGAAGATCACACGACATTACGTTGGGGAAATAAGCAACTTACATTTTATTGCTTGTTGATTGTCTATTTGCTTTCAAGTAAAAAGGGAAAAAAAAAAGAAATCTAAACAAAATAGCGTAGGAGTGTGTATTAAAGCCCTAAGGTACTGAATCTAAAAGTCCGTTCACCCGTTCAGATGACGTAATGTGGCCTGAGGCATGACTCACATGTGAGATATCAAAATGTCGGGGTATATAGCCCGAGGTCACTGGCATGTTCTTAAACAGAAAGGTTATTCTGGAAGTTTAGACGGGGAGAAGATCACTAATCCTGTTTAATGCACCTTTTACTCATATATAAAGAAGCACCTACTTCAACCTACTAAACAAGAATAGTTAAGGCCGTGCGATGCCTTTTTAGTAATATTTTAGATGCAACTTCCAGTTTTCCCTCAGACTGTTAGTGATTGAGGGGACTAGAGCAGTTTCTTTCCACTGATCTAGATCTTTTTAGTGGAAGTGTGAGTCCGTAGCATAGTCGTTGCCCTATAATATCTCTCTTGGTGGTGGTCTTAGACTACTTCGGCATCCAAATATATTTCCACCTTATGATTCTAAGACATACGCAATAAGCTTTGAGTATAGGGCTAGAGGTCATCCTTGTAAGTGCTGATCCGAGACAAGTTTGGTCGAAGTCACATAACACGGGCCAGTCCAGCTAATTTGTTTTTAGTTCGCTAGAGGCATAAATCACCCCACAACGATATCCCGTGTGTCCACGAAGCCTCTCGAGTTCGTTTGGATCAAGGGATAGTTTAATATGAAATAGATAGGAAAACAACGCTTGGGAAATGGGATTGAATGTAACATGGTCCAAGCTGTTCAAAATAGCGGTGACGAGATATTGAAGTATATCAGGGCACCGATGACTCAGCAAAGCTGTCTAGAGGGATAATTTAGGCTCATGTATAACATAGTACTCTAAATTGATTATATAGCTTAGTATGTACTGGATACCATATATATAGCAGTGTTCCCCAGTTTCCTTTTTCGGGAACATTCTATATCTTAGAGTAGATATATAACTATGCGCCATATGACTCAGTCTATAGGACCGTGCATCCCTGCACAATCTAACGTTTGGTACTTTTGTTACCCCCCTTTTTTAGCCTTTGAATGGATATCGCTAAGAAAATGACACTTGGTGAGCACCGCGGCTATCTCGCATTTCCTGGCGCAGTCATTCTTTGTTCCTAATTGATTCTCGGTTCTTCAGCTTGGAGATTCTCTGAATCTTTTGTTTATATCCTTTTATATTCATAGAGAAGAAAGAAAGAGAAAAGGCATAAGATGCAACGGGCCACATTCCCACGCCCATTCGCCCGGCCAACAGATCCGCTTTCTGGAGACTCAAGATTCCCTTTTCGAGCTCTTGCTGTTCACTTATTATTGCTTCTGACTGGCTATTGTTTCGCCCCTCCTCCTTTTTTTTTGTGTGCGTTGGCAAAAATAACCAATTTCCCTGAAGAAAAAAAAAAAAAAAAAAAAAAAAAAAAAAACAATCAATTCTGCCCTAAAATCAAACCAAACATCCAAATTCTCCTTCATCTCTTCCCTTGTGCGCTCTATACTTAACCCTTCCCCCCGGGATATACACAGGGAAGAAAAAAAAAGACGTGCACCCCTCCGATATATATACCCTCCGGAATCCACCATGTCTCGTCGTCGAATATCGCACAGCGAGATGAACGAGGCACTCGCGTATCCTTTCATGCAATCCAACGGTCAATTAAACGGTCAATTAAACGGCCAACCCCCTCGCCGAGGTCCCATCGAAGGTCCCGATGGTCGTCGCCTCATCCGTCGCGTCACATGGCGCTCCTCAACCTACAAGCTCATGGCCACCCTCTGGGTCCTGGCCGTCCTCTATATCGTCTGGCTAGTCCGTGACCTCTTCCTACCATCCACACCATCCGAATCCGAAATCCCTCCTACTCAACCCGATCAGAAATAAAAACGCGCTTCTTCTCTGGGGCTGTGTGTGGGGTGGGAAGGAACACTCGTATTGGGACTGGGTGTTTCGTTCCGGGAGTGGGGGGGGAGGGGGTTCACCCATTGCGGGTTTGCGCGAGGCCGTTTGGCTCTGTGGATATTTGGGTCTCTGAGTGGTCTTGGGCAGAAATGCATTGCGCTTGGGGATGGCCCTTTTTTGGCCCCGTGAGCGCCCCATGAGAGATTGCGCTTCACAAGTCACATCCACCCGGCTCGCTTGATTCGTTGCAATCGCCGTTTCATCTCGCTTCGTGGTTCCGGAGATTCGCCGATGTACTAGCATGATTGTTGGGCATTTTGGGAATGGGTCTGCCACTATCAATGGGTGGATTCGGACTTTGCTAGATCTCCTTCTCTGACTCAACTGGCTTCTCTACCAGATTAAATCTGCTGTGCGCCAGTCAATTGACCCAAACAGCTTTGTTCTTTTTATTTGCATTACTTATTTTGTTTACGATTGCATGTCCACAGCGTTCTATTGCATATAGTTATGATTACCACACAGGCTAATAGCCTGATCAGCATTTCCATCTCTCTCTCGTTTATCATGTTTGGGCGGTTCAATTGTTTTTTTCTTATTTTATTCTCTCTCTGAATTCAGAGCCTCTGCATTATACAGCAAAAGTGGAATACCATCCTAGAATGCTTTATACTTGGGCTATATACAGTATGACAACCCAAATTGACCCCTCCAAAGATTTGCGCGGGGCATCGGGGAAGCAGGAAAGTGGGGGGGGGGGGGGGGGGAAATTCCCCTATCCACATGTGAAAACATGCTATGCATTACTTGTTATTTGGATACTCTCTATAGGAAACTCCCCCTTTTATATAGTTTTTCACATTCTAAACATGTGCTAAGGTACCTTAAACGAATAGGGAAGAGGTCTCACCCTTGGCAATGGTGCTTGCGTAGGGCTTGATAGCGGCGGCCACCTCAGTGGAGGTGAACTTCTCGACCTGCTGCGGGGCACGGCCGACGAAGGTGCTGGCGTCCAGGAGGGTGTCCAGCTGCGAGATGATGGGGTCGAAGAAGGCGGTACGGCGGATGCGCTCGATCAGGTCGTTGTCCTTACCCTGCTTCTTGACGTTGTCGGCAGCTTGGTGGGAGAGGACACCTGGATAGGTTAGGATTTTGATTCAGATCAAAATATATCAGGGGAGAGAAACTTACGGATCTCCTCATGGGCGTCCTGGCGGGAGAGACCCTTGGCGACACAGGCCATGATGATGTTCTCACTGAGATATAGTGTTAGCGAGATCTAGTAGATTGGTTGGATGTGTACTCACGTGGCCATGAAGGGGAGCTCGTCGTTGACGTGGCGCTTGATGACCTCGGGGTAGACGACGAAGCCGGAGGAGACGTTGTCTAGTAATGGTTAGCTATACTCCGACCTTTTGATAGTTCTGATGACTTACTCAGGAGGATAAGACAGGCATCAGCAGTCAGGTACAGCTCGGGGATGCTGATACGGCGAATGGCACTGTCATCCTAGTACAAGTTAGTAGAAGATTCTAAATGAAATCCGGGGGTAAACTCACAAGAGAGCGCTCGAACCACTGAGCGGAGTAGGTATCCAAGCAGTCCTTGGGGAGGTTCTGCAGGTGACGTCCGAGAGAGCACAGACGCTCCGAGCGCATGGGGTTGCGCTTGTAGGCCTATGGATTATCAGCGAAAGAGACCCAATTAACACAACAGATAAGAAAACTCACCATGGCACTGCTGCCAATCTGATCCTTCTCGAAAGGCTCTTCAACCTCCTTGAGCATGGCAAGGTGACGGATGTCAATGCCAATGCGCTCGCAGGTAGAACCGAACGAACCAAGAGCGTTGGCGACATCAACATCGATCTTACGCGAGTATGTCTGGCTGGAGATGATGAAAGCGGAGTTGAAGCCAGCCTTCTCAGTAACAAGCTCGTCGAGAGCCTCGACCTTGGCGTGGTCGCCGTTGAAGATCTGCAGGAAAGATGCTTGAGTACCGGTTGTACCCTTGACACCACGGAAACGCAGATCATCACGGGCACGCTCGAGGTTGCGCAGATCCATCAGCAGATCCTGGATCCAGAGACAAGCACGCTTGCCGACGGTCACCAGCTGGGCGGGCTGACCGTGAGTGAATCCAAGACAAGGAAGGTCCTTGTATTGCTGAGCGAACTGGGACAGCTTGTCGACGACAACAGCCAGCTTGGGGATGAGGATGTCGAGACCGTCGCGGAGCAGGATCAGATCGGCATTATCAGTGCAGTAGCATGAGGTGGCGCCCCAATGGATGATACCGGCGGCGGCGGGGGCAACCAGGCCATAGGCGTGGACGTGGGCCATGACATCGTGTCTGCGGCGCTTCTCCTCCTCGGCGGCAACGGCAAACTCGTCATCCTGGATAAGCTGGTGGGCCTTCATCTGCTCGATGGCCTCCGTGGCGATAGGAAGTCCAAGCTCTGTAGCCATGATTCAGTCAATTTGGATGTCTTGCTTTCAACTATGTCCGCTATCGGTCGATGCTCGACTCTCCCGTACCTTGTTGAGCCTCCGCGAGCCAGGTCCAAAGCTGTCTCCACGTGGAGAAGCGCTTCCGGGGGGAGAAGAGATACTTCATCTCATTGCCTGATCAATTGAGTATGGTTAATTCTCGATCTATACAATTTCCGGGTTTGTCCCTCCTATGGAGGGGCAGTTGGGACCGACTTACTCGCATAACGCGAGTTGAGGGGGGTCTGGTAGACATCGTTGCTTCCGGACATTGTGTCGGTAGTTGTCTGAGACACTCAACTAAAGAATTGAGTAACAGGACAGAGGACAAGACAGGGACAAGGCAATGTGCAAGGAATTTTGCTCCAGTCCGACCTTAGCGGGGCTTATCACGTTATCGGAAACCTTACGATCTACGTATCACATGACACCTTACGTTTTAGCAGGTGACCCCGGGATGATGAGGGAAAGCAGATTGGGTGGTGGCATATTATGATATTAGCTCGTATAAATGACAGTGCGTAATTTTAGATATTCGCTCAGGGAAACTAAGACAACTGCGCCAGCTGTACCGATAGGCTTGCCTTGTCGTACTTGATGTATTTGCCGCGGCCTTTGTCGATCTCCACATATCGATCGTAAAATCGGGCATACAAGGGCTCCAGAACAGTCTGCAGCTCCCGAGTCAGCGCAGTGCGCACCTCGCGCTCCATGTGAAGGGTTTTGTGCCGAGACACCATTTCATCAAAGCTCGCGTTGAATGATTTGAACTTGTCCTTGATTGCATCCTTATCCTTGGACGACAGGGACTTGACGATGGCACTTGAATCCACGTTGCCACTGGAATTGCGTTGCGCTCCACGGGAGGTATACTGCACATCGAGAAGGTACTGAGATGTTTCCTTCCATGCATCGAGATAGGTAGACGTCGCGCGCTTGCGGAAAGTGTCGATCCGGGCAATACTGTCGGGGTTGCCCAAATAACGTGCCAGCTCTGGGCTCTGTCGGATCGACCGGTCGACCACCCAGAACACGTTGGACAAGAATACACCAAGCGCTGCCTTGGATCGATGGAAAGTCCGACCTCGAGCTTCCAGGGAGGTCATCAAGGCCTCGATCATATCTAGGATGAAATGCGATAGAAGGGTGCTGCTGTCTGGACCTACATCCAAAGGAGCCGAGCCGGCGGTGTTAGACTTGGCACGCCAGTTTCCATCCCCCAAAGATGTCAGGATAGAAGCCAAAGGACCCGAGTATCCTGTCAGTGTAGCTAACGAGCTCATCACCTCCTCCACAAGAGGCACTGATCCACCATCCGGTGGGAGTGGTGCGGTAGCAGCTTTGCGCTTTGTTTCCTCGAGTAATTCGGAAAGAGACGACTTTGCAGTCTCTCGTACAGGCCGAAGAGCCTCGATCAAGAGGCTCTTCAGTTCCGCGGCCTTGGGGTCAATCCGATAGGACATCGCAGTCACAATTTCGATGATCTCAAAAGCCAAGAAGCAGTCTGTCATCAGATTGGCCTTTATATACTGGTTCAGCTCACGCAGTGTTTTGGAATATTCACCCATAGCTTGGAAGAAGGTAGCCTGCAACGCCAGGCCCTGCTGATCTCCAGTGAACATCTGCACGATAATACCGTGCTCGGTAGTTATAAAGGCCTCCAGCGCATTGGAGTAGATACCAATACCATTGGTACCTTGCTTGTAGGGGCCATCGGTAGGTCGCCGTTTAACGGTATTGAGGGATGCAATGGCGAGGTTTTGCAAGCTGGATGTGATGTATGGTCCTCGTACCTCTGCATACACCTTCAGCGCGGGGTTATCTCCCTTGCCGCGCTGAGACCCATGGATGGATACGGAGCCAACCACCGAGCACACGGGCGCCATATGGGAGACAGTTTCTTCGGGTATGGATGGAAAGGGGAGATCTAGAAGTGTCGCGCATTAGTTTTGATCTGGATCGTTTGGTGGTGATATGTGTACCTTTGGTAAGATAGTGTAGGGGCTCAATCGGAGTGGCATGCTGGCTTAGTTCTCCGCGTAGCAGTTCTTGAAGTTTTGCGCTTCCGGTGTTTAAAAGAGAGTTGAAGTCGGTGATCGCATTCTGGTTGGATCGCAGGTTTGTTGTGTTGAGGTCGACCAGCGCCTTTTCAACACGTTTCACCGCCGATAGATACTGCGTGAGGCCGGAGCTCTGTGGTCTGATGAATGGTCAGCAAAAGACTCGGGGTTGTATATCCAAAGAAAGTAGAGATACATACCCTGCGCGAATGATGCCATCTTCGCGGTTTTTTGCATCGAGAGGCTGGCGCAGGCGATCGATGGCGTCGTTGACCTTGTCGATATTGCTGTTGGTGATTTGAAGAGATTGGGTGTTGCTATAGATGGGACCAATGGCTTCTTTGACAACTTTTCCTCCAGTCTCCAGGCGTACCATGGAACCTTGTATCTTCTTTGTGAGTCGGTTGAGCTTCTCCAGGTTGGCATACAGCACCTCGACCTCCGCGCTCTCCTCGGCGTAGGCGGTATTCCTTGGCGCCACCATGGTTAATTATGAAATGCAGTTCAGGCAAAATCAATACAGAGAGACCATATTACATGTCACCAGGACCCCTCATGTCCTTTGAGGGCAAATGGAATGGATTGATTGTCCCCTCTGAGCTCCATCCAGTGATAAGGAGCTCCGCCACGCTAGTCCAAAAGCGGCACCCCAAGTCCGGAGATATCACGTGCTAGAGTCACGTGAATATACGTCATGCACTTGAAACTGTTCCAAAACGGGTTGGCTTGTAAGAAAAAAAGGCAGTTAAGGTTTTGGGAGTCCTTCAATGGATCCCGCTAGATGCAGCAGGCCTCTTACCTTGCCTTCAACTCCCTGTCTACGATGTGTGCCGCAAGGGTCACTCGTCTGAAATGGACGGTACCTCCCGCTGCCCTAGCTGCATACACTGCGGGGGAATTGTCCCACCCCAGACAATCAAAAGCTCATTTCACTACTTCTCGAACACGATACAGCAATGACTCGGGGTCTAATGATTCCAATGCAGGCTCAGATGGTCATGGTGAGGATGACAAGGACCATGGATCTATCTGGAACAAGCTCGATGGGGTTAAACAAACTGTTACCTCTGGCGAGTGGGCAGATGTGGGAAACATCACGGACTACATTATCCCTGATTGGACAAAATTTCTACCAGCTACTGCCCAAAAGCTCCAGCGAGAGCTCTCACAGTCACCCGGCTCATTATCAGATGATATCTGGAAGGAGGCACACGATCCCGATATAAACCCCGAGATTCTCCGTGAGGCCGAGGTACGAGTAAGTGAGGATCTCTGCGACGAAGAGCAGGCATTCAGGCGGCAACGACAACGGAAGGTTGTGAAAGCATTGTCATCCTACCTCAACATACCCGAGGAGGACATCAATCCCGAAGATGTACCGGTTATTGCGATATGTGGCTCGGGAGGTGGCCTGCGTGCTCTAGTCGCAGGCACCGGATCGTACCTTGCAGCACAGGAAGCAGGACTGTGGGACTGTATTACCTACACAGCTGGTGTCAGTGGCAGCTGCTGGCTGCAGACCCTCTATCACTCGTCCATTGTGCAGCGAGACTTTGACAAACTTGTCGACCATTTGAAGAATCGTCTTGGTGTCCACATTGCATTCCCGCCGGAAGCTCTCAACCTCCTCACTACTGCCCCGACAAACAAGTACCTTCTCAGTGGCTTTGTGGAAAAGCTGAAAGGCGACCCTGGAGCGGACTTTGGGTTGGTAGATATTTACGGAATGCTGCTCGCAGCGAGACTCTTGGTCCCACGAGGAGAACTGGGAGTCTCCGATAAGGATTTCAAGTTGTCGAACCAGCGAGCCAATTTGATAAATGGGGCTCATCCACTCCCCATCTACACGGCGGTGCGACATGAGATTCCTGTCGAGGCTCTTGAACACCAAAACGACCAGGGCAAGAAGCAGCCAACGCCTGAGCAGCTGGTGAAAGAGTCACGAAATGAAGCATGGTTCCAGTGGTTTGAGTTCACTCCTTACGAATTCTTTTGTGAAGAACTTAATGCCGGTATTCCCACCTGGGCTTTAGGACGTCATTTCAACGCGGGCCGCTCCGAGGTTTCCATTGACAACCTCCCCATCCCGGAGTTCAGAGTTCCCGGGCTCATGGGTGTTTGGGGTAGCGCTTTCTGCGCGACTTTGTCTCACTATTACAAGGAGATCCGGCCTCTGGTCAGAGGCCTGGCTGGATTTAGTGGAATCGATTCGCTCATCCAAGGAAAAAACCAAGATTTGATCAAGGTGCACCCCATCGACCCTGCGGGTATACCCAATTATGTCATGGGCATGAAAAATCAGCTGGCCGACTCCTGTCCAGAGTCAATCTTCCAAAACCCCCACCTGCGTCTCATGGATGCGGGAATGAGCAACAACCTGCCAATCTACCCACTCATTCGACCTGGTCGCGATGTCGACGTAATTGTCGCATTTGATGCATCTGCAGATGTCAAACAGGAGAACTGGCTTTCTGTCGTCGATGGATACGCCCGACAACGTGGTGTCAAGGGTTGGCCCGTCGGTGCCGGATGGCCTAAAAATTCAAGCCTCAAGGAGACTGAGGATGCCCTGCGCGAGCCAGAGCATATCACCGAGGAGCAAATCACAAAGAAACTCGCCGATGCCAAGAGTAAATCTGGAAACCAGCCCGCTGATCGGAAACCAAAGTCCGGCACAGACCTGGGCTATTGCAACGTTTGGGTCGGCACCACGGAAGAGCGAACCTCGGACGATGAGCCTCCACCATCCAAACGCCTGTTTGATTCTCCCAATAGCGCAGACCACTCTGAATCCGAGTTCCACCTGATGCGCCCAGATGCCGGCATCGCGGTTATCTATTTCCCTCTGATTCCCAATCCTTCCGCACCAGACCTCCCTCCTAAGCCTAAATCTCGTCCGCGTGCAGCTGCTCAGTTCATGCGACAGGATAGCTCTCAAACTAAAGACCCGGAACTGCCCCTAGCTCCACAACCCAACTCGATCGACCCTGCAGTTGATGATTTCCTGTCGACTTGGAACTTCATCTATACGCCTGACCAGATTGATTCCGTAGTCGGACTTGCGAAGGCAAACTTCGCCGAGGGTGAAGAGCAGACTCGCCGTGTTGTCCGTGCAGTCTATGAGCGCAAGAAATCCGATCGACTGGAGAAGGAGGCGGCAGAGCTTCGGAAGAAGATGGAAGGCTTTGTGCCTCTATGATTCCGCGGTCAACTATCACCGGATCAAAACTGATTCTGGTTGAAGCTGCCACGCCATCGTGAATATAGACGGCGCTTTTTTGACATTTTTACCTCGCATACCCCTATCATTCCTTTCCTCTTTCCTTTTTCCTATTGGTTTGAATTAGATAAAACCTGGCATATCTAGATTTCACACTCATACCGTTCCTAGCGAGCTGCGTTCATTTATGTATAATACAGAGTAAACGGCCTCTGAAAATATCAAGCATACAAAATATTCAATTCATATGGTATATTTGTAAATGCACCATGTATTACTTATGCTATGCACTTGTATTAGCCCTGGCTAATACGATTTCCCACTCGACTGATCAGAGCTCTAAAGTTTTACTCTGTCCCCCCATTCTTCGTAAAATTCGTCTTCACTCCCTCAAGCCCTTCACTATGCGCCTTCTTAACTTTGCCCTCATCATCGGTAGTAATCCTCTCATCATCGCTTCCAGCAAGACTAACATCCTGACTATCACCTGTCTGCTTCCGCAGTCCAAGTTCTTTCTCCAACGCATGTCCCAGCTCCTTGGTCTTGTCCGAGATACTCGTAGCAGTACTTTTCTGCGACGAACTCTCAGAAGGACGCTGGCTCTCCTTATCCCCCTGCAATCCCCGCCAATCAGGCGGCTCGCTTTCATGGATAGAATCGCCAGGTTTGGGCTCACTAATCGGTATCCCAGCTGCCGGCGCGATATCCTCGCTCTTCCTCCCCTTCCCTTTTGTCTTGCTAGCTGCACTGGCCTCCACGGTCTCCGCCGCAGGATACCGCCATACAACCTTCAGCCTGTCTAACGCCCGGATCCCCTTCCTGGCGCTCCCTTTGATCCCATCCATCGCATCCCATTCTGTCTCGAAGATGCCCGAGTCGTGCTCGGCTCCGCCTTCGAAGTAGGGATTGAACCAGACATGCGCGATGGAAGTTACCATTGCAAAACCTGTGTATGATGCTTTGCTGCGGCGTTCGAAGTCGATGTTCACATCCGAGTTGGGGACAATGACTGGTTTGTGGGGTTTGAAGATTATTGCCGAGACACTGTGGCCTGGCGCGGACGAGCCCGAGACGCCAGATCCCGATACCGCCGGGGACCAGGTCGCAGACGAAGGGAGTGGATTTTTGATGTCGAGATTGGAGTTGGGGTTCGGTTCGGTGATATCGCTCCCCTTGCCAACATCTTGTTCCTCAGACGTCAAGCCCCCGTTTTCAACGATGGTACGCTCATTCCGGTGAAACAGATGAAAACACTTAATCTTCTTCCCCTCATCCACATACCCTTCCACCGCAACCTTGACCCCGTCCCTCAACCCCCAGATATGAACCTCCAGGATCTCCACCGGTCGCTCGACATATTGCTTCCCCATCTCGTTCGCCCATTTATCGATATACCCGACATACCGCAGCTGGCTGGGGATGCTAACACCGTCCCCGAAGCCGACGCGCATGCGCCGGTCCGTAAACCGCTGTAGCGCGTCTTCCTTTTTCCACCCCTCCTGGCTGATCAGGTATGCGCACGCGATCGTCCCGCTGCGCCCTTTGCCTGCTTTGCAATGCACGACGGCGACGCGTTCTCTTTTATTGGTGTCCATGTCGGGCAATTCTTTTTCATCTAGTCGTTTTAACCAGTTCCGCATACTGGCCATTATGTTGGGGATATGCGTGAATGGCGGTGGGTGGTGGTCGGGCCAGGGGAAGTGGTGGATGCGTCCGTAGACTTCTGAGTCTGGGTATCCGGTACCTTCGGCGCGGAATTCCCAGATGCACCAGTTTGCGCCATGTTTGGTGTCGAGGAAGTTGACGAGTGCGTCTAGTGGGTTGCGGTAGGCGCGCTGGGGGTATGTTGCTGATGGACCGGAGGTTGCGATGACTGTGGGTTATGTTAATTTGGGTATTTTGGTATGGTATTGGTGAGTATGTTACCATTCTCTGTCACGTAGCAGAGGTCTAGCCCTGCTTCTGGGTGTTGTTGTCTTGGACCTGCGACAATCTGGCGGAGAATTGATGACTGCGAGATTCCAAGGTTAGCACTGCTGTTGGAAGGTTATTGAGATGGAGCTGACGTACCATTTGCAGAGTGAATATGTGCTTATAAGTTATGTCCACCAAAATTAAGTGAACGTGGAAGAGACAATATGTATACAATTCGACAGGCACGGGGAGTTGTTTTTTGAGGCGCAGCGGATGATGTCATCGAGGTCCTTGCTTTCTATAGATCTACAATATTCTACGAACATGTATATAATCTTGTCGCAACTTCAATTCCTTTGTACAATTCCAGGCTAAATATACAAGCCAAATAGTTCCATCACAAACATCCCAAAAATTTTCAATTGGGTATGTCGCGTGCTCATCAATCAAAAGAGACCCATCAAGACCCGCCATCACAATAAAAATAAACAGCCAGATCCCCCCATTTCTAAAGAGTTGTAGAGAGTAGCAATTTAAGCAATGCCGTACTCCTGAGTAGGCTTCATAGCAAACTGAATCGGCTTGTGGTCAGGGACGGTAACATTCTTCGCACCGTGCTGGGACCAAGTCGCGAGGGACTCGTCGCTGAGATGGGAGTTCCAGGTGTGGGTGACATCGACAGTCCACTGCGAGTTGCCTTTAGACCAACCGGCAGGGGAAACAATGGTTGTGATATCCTTGTCGTCGCAGAGGACCTTCTTCTCTGAGATGCCGCTGCAGTGGGTGCGGAACTTGGGGGTCATTGCGTTTGCTCGGCCGGCGATATCGTATCTGAAGATGCAGCCACCTTGGGAGCAGCCGAGAGTGAAGTTGGATACGCCCCAGATGATGTCGTCGGTGATTGTTTGGGTCTGTAGGACAGCAGGGAGTGCAGTGGTTAGGCCTGCTAGGGCGATTGGGAGGAGAGTAGTGAGTTGCATTTTGTATTTTAGAGAAGAGTCTTGAATTGGTTACATAGAATAAGGGGAGGCAGGGGAGTTATATAGAAGAGGCGGCTGGCGTTTAACGGCACTTCCTTCGTTGGGCGTCCTTGGCACTCGGAACCCAACGTCGATCACTTTTAGGGGGTCTGGTGAACGTGCCTTTCAAGATTATGAGAAAAAAATCATTTTGATTGTTCGGCCTTTGATCATCGAATCATCGAATCATCATCATCGAATCATGAAATCAATCAATGTTTCGTCCACAAAGGTGGTACTGTTCAACAGTTATTGTCATGTCTTTCAGTCCGACTATTTATAGATGGATCTACAGGGAACAGGGTTTACGGTTCATCTCTGTTTTTTGGGGGTTTTTTTTTCGTAAGTGGAAACCAAATACAAAATGAAATTTGCTATGATGCTGAGGCAAATATTTGGGTAATACAAGTGCAGAGGCTTATAGTACAAGATATATACATAATGACCGAGGTCAAAAAGTTGTGACGCCCAGAACGGGTGTTGGCGTCACTTGCAGTTTGGCTGCATATTCCAGGTAACGTACCGTCGAGGAAATGAAGATTCTGATCGAGACTGAAACACGCCCGACATCGAAAGGATTCAACTAGTTTCACTCGGACTTGGTAGAGCCATTGTCGGTCCCACCGGCTTGCCATTCATCCCAACCCTCCTCTCTCATGTTTCGTTCAATGGCAAGGCGGCGTCGTTTCTTCTTTCGACGCTCTTTGTTGTAATCGCGTCGCTGCTCGTCTGACATGTTCAGTCGACGAACCGCCGGTGGTACAGGGTGGCGGCCAGCTCTTTCATTCGCTTCCCTTTCCTTCTGTTTCTGCTGCAGCTCCTCGTCTAGCTTTCTCACGTCGTCTCGAATAAAGGGGTGATACTGCAGTCGCATCGCAAACTCGTCCACAGACCCGGCACAGATCTCACGGATTTCCTGCTGTGTTTCAGGGCTGAGTCTGGCATCCCGCTTCATCAGGTCCTGGAAGTACATGAAACCAGACCGGAAATTTCCCGCATCTAGACACATCAGGATGATAGACTCGAAAGTAACACCGTTCGGTACCACCCCAAGTGACGCCATCTCTTTCACCAGGAACATGCCCGATTCACGATTGCGGGCCGTTCGGCACATCCGAATTAGCGCGTTGTACACTCGGACGTCGGCGCCTTCGGGGCATAACGTATAGAGCTCTTTGTAGAACCCAACACCGTCATCCACCACGGATGGGTCGTCATGGGCATCATGTTCACAGAGATCGGCAATAACTCGGACAGAGTCGATGGGAATAGTTCGTTTCTCATTCTTCAACCGCTTGAGAATCTGCCACGCCTCCCGAGGATCAACTTTACTCTGAATCATATGGGCAAGAATACGCTCCGTCGAGCTATCCGCCAGAGGAATTTTAGCTTCGTGCATGGTGCACAGCGCTTCAAACGCAGCAGGCAGATCACCTGCTGCCACGTGCGTCGCAACAAGTGCCTCATACTGTGTGCGCTCGAGCGGGATCCCGCTCTCACGGAGGTAACGGAACACAGAGCCCGCCAGCTCTGTATCACCGGCCATTGCAGCCATTTTCAATACGTCATCGCAGACTTCAACGAGCGGATGCATGTAGCCCAGTTCGACCATCCGTCGCCACACATAGTGTGCCATCGGGTAATGGCCCTGTTTACCTGCCTCGGTCAACACGTGCATCCAAAGCCGATGGGTCATGTCGTGGCCCTGGTCGACGCGCGCACGCATCACATTGTACACCTCGTCCAACTCCCCATGGTCGCAGAGTGTATAGACAATTATACTGTGTAGCCAATTTTCCACAAATATATCCTTTCGCCCCATCAATGCAACATGCTCGAGCGCGAGTTCAATCTGGTTCTCGCGGAGAAGACCAGCCGCCACAAAATGCCATCCGGCTGGGCTGAGCGTGAGCCACCGGTCTCGTAGCTTGTTGAGGATTTCCTGTCGTAGGAGGTAGTCCGGATGTACAGCGAGGACCTATGGAAACTCAATTGTTAGCTTCGATTTACATATATAGCTCTGTTCAACCGGATAACTTACCTGCAATGCACCGTGGAGTGTACCCGAGTCCGCGGTGATGCCATTATTCTCCATCTCCTCTAGCAAACTGCGCACAAGCTCCGGCGAGCCTCTCTCGTTATCGGTGTTTGCAAGGATCAGTGCCTTGTAATGGCGAGCATTCGGCTGCACATGACGGTCCCGAATGAGCAGTCGCAGGATCTGCGTTATGTGTCGAATGTTCGGCTTGTTGTCCATTGCATATTGCAATCGGGACTCCAGCCATTCGTTCGTTTTACCTAGGAGGTCGTCTTGCACCCTATGCGTTCGTGTGTATAGCGGACCGCCTTTTCGTTGTACGGGTGGCCTGGCGGTTGGATCTGAAGACAGGCGAGTGCCACGGTATTCATTTTCGCGTGGCTCTCGTGCTTCGCTCCGATCATTATGATGTGTTGCATTATATGGGACTTTGAAGTTATCGCCGCCTGAGGTGTTGTAGCATCGGCGCGAACCCGCGCTCGGGCTAGAAATCGAAGGTGGTGGATATAGTCTCGGGTTTCGTCCCTTGGGTTTGGGGAATGCTGTTGATCGACTGAGGTTCAAAGCTGTAAATGACGGACACAGAGAATACCATAGCCCATCGAGGACTAACGCCCGCCGCGACATATCCGTTTGTGGCTAACTCATCGGAAGCTTAGCCTCCGCGGATTTGACCTGGAGTTTGATATCACGTGACAGCCTCGAATATTCGCTTCTTAGACTGCATGGGGGTTTACAGAGAAATATAAACTCTAGTCTGGGTTTTTGGAATATCACATTTAGAGGTAGTTGTAAATCGACCAAGTGACCCAGATGCCGTGAAAATACAGAGCCAGATGCGCCACGGCCATGCTCGATCAAACCGTTCCACCGGACCTTCCGAGCGACCTTACCACCGTCTCCTCCGGGGGTATCTCGTTTTCTGTCTTCTTAAAATCATTGATGCAGAACAAGCTTATGTCTAATTGGGGCCGCCTCGTCCCCGACCACGTCCACCCCGGCCGCCACCACCACCACCCCGACCACGGCCGCGGCCACGATCACCGTCTCGGCCGCCGCGACGTCCTTGTGGTTGGTTCTGTTGCTGCTCTTTGACAATCTCGACAATCTCTTCGGGGACTCGTAGGTATTTGATCTGGGGGTTGTTAGCACATAGCCAAAAGAGCGGGGCTCTGAGTTGATTGCTCGCCGGAGGGCTTACGTTGTTGCCCCGGATGTAAACCTCGGGCAATCTGAAGAAGCGGTCGCCTTCAGGACTCGTCTGCACTACCTCGCGCAGAATGAGGTTCATGAAGTTATCGCAGGTAACCAGATGGCCGTTCAGAGTTTCGCCGTTCTTCAGCTCCACCAGCATGGGGTGGCCCTGTGCGGCCGTGAGGAGACCGAGAGGGAGCTGAGCAAAAATTGAGTTAGTATAGGTCTTGGAGAGAGCGTTTGGGTAAAGCTGAAGCTTACCATTTTGGAATGCGATCGACGAGGTGGGTGAAGGTGGGAGTCAGTTGGCGCACAAAGTTGAAATAGCGAGGGTTGCTCTGTAGGTCTAAAGTCTGTGACTAGCGGATTTAATAGCAGAATTGAACCCTAATGAATGGGCCTTTTGATTTATCTGGGGTTGTTGAGAGTAACAATGATTCAAGCTCCAAGAGATGCGACGAGGAAGCCGGAAAAAGGGAAGTGCCGAGCCCAACTGTGGTTTGGGTGACCGTCTACACATGCAAGGAACTCTTGAACTTCCATTTTATTTTATTACTCTTCTATTTGCATCTACTATTACGCATATCAAACATTCATGCTTCTACTAGTATGAGAGATTTCGGTAACATAAATTAGTGGGTATCGACTAGAATTGAACTTCTAAAGTGGCACACCTATCGGAGAATGGTGTGTAAGACTAAATTGTTAAATGTTTTGAAAATAACACCCTCATCCACGGGCATGCATTACATAGTACATAAGAGAGCTGACCACCGCAAGGCGTTTAAACCCTTGGTCGCTTAGCTAGCTCTGTTTCGTCCTCGTCATCATCATCATCCATGACCGTGAGCTTGCGCTTGATACGCTGGTCTCGGCTACCGGTAGGAGCCTTGCTAGTCTTATCGTTTGTCTCTGCCTCTTCATCCGATTCACCTTCTGACAAGCGGCCCTGGAGCGCATCCAATGTGATCTCGTAACCTTCCTCCACATTTTGGACCGTAGCGTCAAGTTTCTCCACCCGGTCTAGAAGCTCCAGTTCATTCAAAAGTTCTTTATGCTTTTTATAGAGACGTTGCTTGGTTAGCATACGCCACCAATAGTAGCGCCGGTCATCCTCATTTTCGGCCTTGAACTTCTTGATCAACAGTCGAGCGAGGTTGGTGCCGCCAGCTAGGCGGTGGCTGTGCGGGATCTGGCCGAGAAGGTACATCTCCAAAACGTGTGCAAACTGCGTGGGTTCGATCTTGAACGACTTGCGGATATCGTGGAGAAGTTTGGTAGGTATGAGGGCGGATGTGGGCACATTGCGAGGGCGTTTCTTTTGAGAATACGCCCCGAGGGGGTCTGGGTTGAGATTCACGTTGTGCTTCAGGAACTCAGGTCGCAGCAGACAATAATCGGCCGAGTCCCGCAGCGCGTCGAATTGTTCATTGGGGTCTTCAATGGTCAATTCTAGAATGGTTGGGTCTGCGATGCAGGCCGCGTGAATTGTGGTGTATAGGTGTGTGCCGTGACCGGCGCGGTGGTGTGAAGGGAGAATAAGGAACTGGGCAATGCGGATCCGTGCAGGAAGCTCGGCAATGTTGACTTCTGGTGGCGGAAACTCATCGTTCTTGACTGTGGGGGTTTGTGATTGATCCCGTTGGTAATACCAATAGCGGTACGTTGTGGCATATCCGACGATCGAATATGATGATGCTGTTGGTGTTGGAGGAGTCACCTTCTCATATCTGTAAATTTGATTAGCCTTAGGTTACGGATACCAGCAGGGCAAGGGCAACATACACGAAATATACCCTCCACCGGTCGAGCGTCCACTCCGGGTCATCTGTGTCGAGGGGAGTTCCGGCCTCAATGAAGAGGGAAACGAGAATCTGCATGCGATCCAGAATTTTCCGCACTTGCGGGTCTGCAAGTGATCCAGCCCAAACCTCATATTTTCGGTCATTGACCTCGTAGTCAATGACAAACTCGCCTGGAGGCTTGAAATCTTTTGCGTCCGGGTCGTTCTGAACAGCTTTCTCATAGTCTGGGAGATTGGCGAATGCCTCTGCGCAAAATGGTGGTTAGCTTATATCGCACATATTGTCGCAAAGCTTAAACTCACCTTCCTGGACAAAAGGTTTCAGAGTATCGAGAAGGTCGACAGCGGCTGTGTCACCAACCGGCTTGAACTTCTCATCATAGGAAATGTGAACATGAGGGCGCAAATCATGGGCCGCAAAGCGCAAACGGATAATTAAGCCTCTGTAGCCGAAGATTTGCTCATCGTCACCGAAGATAGGATACGTAAATTGGGGGTGGAACGTCGAAAGTGTTTTCGGCTTCTTTTCGTCAGGTTGAATGATGGTAACATGGACCGCATCGTTGGCGTCGCAAGACCCTAAAAGTAAATATCAATCAGATTATATCCTGGCGTTGGATAGGAAGCCATGAACTTACATCCAGCGTCCGCCATTTTGACAGGATACGTGGAATTTGAATGTCAAATAAGACAACGGAAGGTCTGAGGTCTAAAGCGAGACGCGAATACGCGCCCCGGCGCGCATCAGTATTACCTAATCTGGATCTATGGCCCGCCTCACTACACTAAAACGTACCTTAGATCTAACAGAGTACATCTTAGCACTTTACTATAATATATATTAAATTTATATCTAGCTTACTATTACTTTATTATTGCTTTTTAATACATGTCTCGGATAGTAGGCGAAGCTAAAGTGTATGTACTAATACACATATCTATGTAGACATTTCTTCCGTGCCCATCTGCCAGTTTCCATAGAAAAGGGCTTAAAAGCCAGGGCATTGCATGGGACCATTCCCACGGTTCCCGCAGTGCTTGCCATCTCCGCCCTTAGGGACCGAGGAAAATAATTAAGAAGAAACAGAGTAAATCAAGGAAGGCAATCCTATTTACTATTGTGAAAGCTACAAGTGCTTGGGTGGTAACAGGAAAAGAACTTTGGAAGAGAGCTGAATTAGAACTTGTAGGCCGTCTTTATGTCTAACTTTTATTATACTCACGTATGTTGTTTATGTTGTTCCACAGCCTCTGATCTAGTTTCCATTTCCTGACTGATTTTTCAGTTGGGGTATCATTTCCAAAGCTCGCTGTATCCCCATCGTGCGTCCTATTCGCTCAAGCGTTCCAACAACCCATTCATGAACTTCATCGGGGGTCCCCGCCGCACCCCCGGCAACTCCTAATGGGAAAAGCAGCATGAATATACCGTTCAACAGTGGTATACGTGATGGGTCTTCGGCAACTCCTTGCTTGAAGGTAGCCTCCTGACATGCAGCTCCGGCACATATGTCAATTGCCATGCAGGCAATCGTGTCCAATGCTTGCTGCCGTTGAATCATATTATCTGCTGTGGGTTGTGCCATTCTCGAAATTAGGGATACGATGGTTTCGTTTACCAGGAGTCGTGCCCAGCGGTAGTGGTTGAGAACTTTCGAAACCCACATGCTTTTGTAGACATGGCACTGGTCGCGAAAGCTGTACTCGTATGTATTGGATTGTTTCACAGTAAAGGACCAGTATGTTGGGAGATGAGTTCCCCACTCGCGAAGTTCACCTTCAAACGATAGTGCTGGGTCAACTGCTGCTTTGGCGTCGACTTTTTCGTGATGCAGACATGCATCGAACTTCGTGAATCTTATTAGTATGTCAACAAGGCCGACGCCTGGTAAGATATCTGGTGACGCAGAGGGTATAAGATTAGGAGACCAGTCCAGTAGACCCAGGGTGATAACCCTCTTAGCAAAGTACTTGACAATTGAAACAAAGTAGAATTGTAAGTGGGCTCGGTGGTTCATGGCCAGGAGTGACAGCCGAAAGGTGGATTGTTTAAGCAAGGCAGCCGCACCATCCGCATGCACAATCCAACAGTCGAGCTGGTTTAGGGCACAGCTTACCATCTGCGCGGGTCAGTTCGTTGCAATTTTTAAACTGCAAAGTAGAAACCATCAACTTGAAAAACTTACCTCGTATATACTTAGCATTACGATCAAGTGGAACGCTTTGTCGGGATTTGCCTGAGTGGGATTCTGCACTACTTCTCGCACAGCCTTGATAACCAGGGCATGTTTCTCTCGAGACAATATCCGTAGTGCTCTGTCATTATTGACATTGGACAAGGCGGCAAGGCCAACCGAGATGACAGCATCTCGACTCGACCGATGGAGATTAATGGCTCCAAAATGAGGAGACGGTGGTTTGCCACCTACATCTATAGAGCCATTTGGTCTGGTGGCCATCCGTGTCACAAAACTGTTGATAAAGAATCTCAGCCCCTGGTCCTCCAATGGGGTGGACATCGGGGTAGTAATTCTCAGAGTCGGAGTCAATTGGTCCATGCTCCTGCAGAATAACGCAGCTGACGGCAAAATATCGGCTCGTAAGACGGATGTGGATATATCAGATTCTAGAGCACTATCCTCCAATCTTCGACGGGGCTCGGTCTTGGCTTTTGCTGCTGCACTTCGTCGAGCCGCCTTGCCATTCTCATCGCGGAACATATAAGACGGCACATCCCGATAGCCGCCACATGGTTTGCCTGCTCTCTTGTATTGGGAACACACGGGATCAAGCCGGTCACACTAGACCATGTCAGTCTACAATTCATTGGGTGTTAGGCCACGCCACTTACCTTTATCCGTCTTTCCCGGCAGCTGAAACAGCATTTACTGGGATGACCGTAGAAAGGCATTGTCCCCTAGATGAGGGGGTGTCATATTCAATACTAAATAGGCAAAGAATTCGTGAGGATCGGGGATGAGTCGATGACTTGGGGCTTAGCCTCCTGAGGGCTCCACTAGATTTTAGTAGATGCTTGGCATCGACCTTTCCCAATCGGGTATCTGTTTCATCATTTAGTCTCAAACATATAGTTATATCGGATTTTGTTCATTATTGCCTTTGATACTGGCTATGTTATTCAGGTTTGCAATTACACCTAGCTAGATACCCGGCTAATTATACATACTCGCGACAAGCTCTCGTTGCAAATCCTGCAGACGGGACTTCGACCCCCGGAGTCACGGGAAGATTGGTTCAACAAACCTAACACCGACGAACTAGGCTGACAAATACAGAAAAAACTAAATAAATAAAGTGAGGGGCTGACTAGCTAAATGCACATGGTAAAAAGAACTAGGGCAGAGTCAGTTGAAGAAGGCCTTTTTGAGACATCTAAACGTAGACGTATTGTACATGGCAAACATTCTGTGCTTGACCTTCCACGTGATGATGATGGTGATGAGCTTCATGCGACCTATCAGGTATCGTATTGGGCAAAGCTGTCGATATGCTGGTTGAAGTTGTACTGCTCGTAGAAGATGGGAAAGTCCCACTGTTGTCTGCAATAGTTGACGATCTAGATATTTTGGTGACCAAATTATCAGAGACAGCCCCAACTTCTATGGTGGTTGAACTCGAAGCAATCGCACTTTGGCGGGATACGACAGATGTTGTAGCCGTTGCGCGAGATGTAATGGACGTCCTCGGGGTGGGATTTGCTGTAGGCGAAGTGGATTTAGAGGAGGATGCAGCTACCACATCAGACTCATCCATGCGATAGAGCAATGATCCCCAGCCCAACCCATCGTAGTGGCCAGACCCTTCTCCCCAGGATCCCGCACCGCCCTCCGCGCCGCCGTAGTAGTCAAGAGAGTTGTTGAGGAACAGAGTGGTCCAAGGTGCGTCCATTCCAATCATCGTGACGTAATGGCTGTAGAGAAGCTCCCAGGTAGGTCTAATGGCTCCACGAGAGGCACTACTGATTTCGGTGTGGCTAACTATGCCGTTCGTGTAGTAGACGAAGGGAACGTCGTTTCCAAGGTTATATCGCGCAAAGTACTCCGCTCTAGGGCGATACATAAGTAATTGGTAAGGCGGAAAGCTTAGGACAATTGGATGGTACTTACCCGCGGAGAATCCGACTATCGTTATAGGCAAACAAATCCTCTCCTTGGTTCCAGGCCTGCTGCCCGATAACACCGAGAAGTTGTATGTCTAATGCTGAGTGACCCTGGTCACGACCAGATTCTTGGCCCTGACCGAGTAAAGCCCCAGTACCAGGCTCTTCAACGATATTGCTGATGGCATTGTTGATCGCGCCCGTTCCTTCCCCAGTTTTGAAGTAATCCACAGCAAAATCCCACACTGTTTGGTTGTCGGTTATGACAGCCATAGCCATTGCCGAAGCGATATTACACAGCTCCCAGTTTGCGAAGAAATGAAGAACATTGTGCTCCGACGGCTCTTCATGGTTCAACCATCTGTAGTGCATCGGGATAAAGATATTATTGGCCATTTCCACAACAGCTGGGAGGACATTGTCCACGAAGGGCTGATAGTCGCGAAGGAGTTCGGCTGCGTTGGCGAGTTCGTACCCCTGCAGGCCAGCTGTGAGGTACTTATCGTCACCACCGTCGATTGCAGTGAGAGTGATCGCCCATGCATGTAGAATATTGCTAGCAGCATCAGCAAAGCTTGTGTTTTGGGATATTTTCCAGCGTAGGCCTAGATCGAATGCTGCCGCGACGTCATGCCAGAGGAGCTCTGCGTTCTCGGTATGGTCATCCCATGTACTCCGATAGACAACGCTAACCGGGGAAGGAGTATAGCTGGCGTCAGAGAATGAGAGACTAGTTAGGGTATTCCAAGATATAGTCCATGGGTCCTGGTTGGCCTTGATCTTTTTCTGGGTGCGAGTGATATCGCTATTGGAGACGAGGAGACCAGGGTGCACAAAGCCTGCTACAAGGGGAAGAAGAGGTATAACGAAAGGAAGAAAGGCGACCATTTCAAAAAAAAGGGGGGGTAACATAAATGAATGCAAATATGACAAGACAAGAGAAAGGAATGAACTGGACACAAATTCGATATTTATATCAGAGCACATACTCCGTGCTTAATCTAAAGCAACTTGTGTTTCAACTGTGCCCCAGGCAATACGTGGGTAACATCTGCAAATAATGTCTCAAACCTTCTATAAGAAACACCGAAGATTATCCGAATAATATCTAAGAAAAGTCGGCAACACAAGCGTTTATGCGGCCTCAAGATGAACACCCCTTTTGGGATGCCTTTATACCTTCTGGATTTCATATAAAGGTGGAAAGGTGGTAAAAACTATAGAACTTATACACGATAAGAATAGTTGACCGCTTCTGCGGCGTTGTGAAGTCTTTTGGTAGACTCTTCTATGGATATTTCTTCCCTTTATTGATGCTATAGATAGAATACAGGCGGTAAAACGGATTAATTTGTGCAGAACAACTTTTCCATGTATAACATTTGATGATTTCAATGTTATTATAATAATCAACGTCAATTCTCCGTAGAACAGCTATGGCATTGTTTGAGGTTGTTCTGTTACTTCTAATATACGTGCTAACGGCTATCATCCATATGGGAGCTATGTCCCAAGAGAGTAAGAGTGTGGAAGTTCATGAGCTGCGCTGCTTCTGAGATGTCAGGTTAAGCTGCTGAGGTTAGCTATGTTACTTCGCAGAGAGCAGCTCTACCAGTTGGAAGTCAATTGGGTATCCGAAACAACTTTTGGCCGAGGCCCCGGGGTACCATTTGCATTGCATCGACAGCTACATTACGTAGAAAATTGCTAAAATTGCTACGTAGATGTAGCTGAATAAACTGAGCCCAATTACCTGAAATTTTTAGAAGGTCTTAAGATATCTCCATAGTTTCTATTGAGAGGGTTGGGAGTGACCAAGAAAGCCAAGTGAAGGTGCCATGCGGTTGAGAAGTTAGCACTTGCCATAGCTTCCTAAATAAAAAGTTGCTCAACTCCCAATTTGACCTTCTTATTCCTTTTCCTTCTTTCACAAACAGAAGCATCACTGAGAAGAAAGAGACACTACTTTCAATCATCCCAGACCTGGACGTCCCCATCAAACATCTACAATGTCTCTTGTCGAACGTGCTATGAACAGTGGAAGGAGAACCTCCTATTATCATTATGACCCCTTCCTGCCAGTGGCAACCGTTGCTGCTGTCTTGTACACGATTGCTTTTGTGTTGACTGTCATACAATGGATATGGTACAGGGCCTGGGTATGGAGCATCATGGTAGTATCATCAGCCAGTACGTACGCATCCGGTCCATGCCATTCACTCTCACTCAATCTAACCCTAAATTCAGTAGAAGCAATGGGCTACATTAGCCGATGCGCCTCGGTCCAAAATAAATTGGAGAGACCCGTTTACGTTCTTCAATTTGCCCTCATCATCCTTGCACCCGTCCTCATAGCAGCGTGTTGCTATATCATTTTCAGCCGCATCTTGTTTCTTATCGTTCCCCAAGAAGCACGCACATTTAAATTATGCTGAGTACCTCCCCGATTCATTACACTTATCTCCGTCGGGTTTGATATCATTGCTCTGCTGCTCCAGCTTGGTGGTGCGGTGATGATCACTTCAGTCGATGGCACAGATCGGGATGACAAAGACAAGCTCAACACTGGAAAACACGTTGCCTAAGTAGATGTTATTGTTCAATTGGTCGCCTTTGGTTTGTCCGCTGTCGCAGCTGTCCGTTTCAACTTAACTTCCAAGCGCTTCACTGGGTCTCTAAGTGAGCGGTATGAGAATGTTGGAGAGAAAGACTACCGGATTAATGAGATTATCAAAAACAAACATTGGCCTGCTCTACTAAGGGTTGTCAGTCTCACCACGATATTAATTCTTGTCAGTTCTTCAATTTAAGACGCTGTTCACTCGCTGACTTATACCAGGTGCGGTCTGTCTATCGATTTGTGGAATTCACCGAAGGCCCGACGGGATATTTGAGCATTCACGAGTGGCCTCTGTATATCTTTGATGCCCTATTTATCTACCCGTGCGTTGCCATTTTCGTCTACTGGCACCCAGGGAAATATTTACCGTACCTGGGCTTTCAACTCCTAAAAGGTACGCACGGTAGCGGTGACTCGGGGATGTGGATGCGATAAGGATCGCGGGGTCGATCAGCCTTCTGTGATCTGTGATTATTGCATATTCTAGTGGAGCATATGTGTGTGGAGCATATGTGTGTGTGCTTCGCATCAACATGGTATATCAATGTGCAAAGGTGGCCGACGGTGGCTTATGGTTGGCAAGAAACGCGTTTCCTTGTTCCTATTGGATCCGGTGGGAATGTACCGCATTCGCCTCATGCGCATTGCATCGGAAATCTAGAAGGTGGGAATCCTAGATTTGGTCTTGGGCGATGGTGTACAAAAAGGACGCCCATGCCTACTTGATCAGCTGGTGCAGGCGTTGACACAGATCATATTAAAATATGAATCGATGATTCTTGAATTTAGATCAAGTAAGCTAATATAGACATAAAATAACTAGAAAGAAATGCAAAAAAGGATCTAAGCAAGGTTGCACTTGGCCCTGTATAGTCCGAGCAGTAAGGCCAGATGTGGGACAGACATTGTCATAACTTCTAAAAGTCAGCTTTAAGTCCTATATGCCTTTCAAGGGCCTTATCTAAAAAAAAATCCCTGCAAAATCCCTTTCAAATAGCTCGAATGCTCCATACTTCCCCCTGGTATGTTTTGAAAGCGGTACCTGACTCCAGGGCTACGTGGGTCCGACCTGGATCCTTCCACCACCTTGGCCTCTTACGCAACACTCTCCAGTCTCTCTCTGGACCCTCTCTTCAATTCCCGCCATGATAGAAAATCTATAGAGTGAAGGAGATCATCATGGAGGGATTATTCACTCTGCTCGCTCTGAGCATTGTGATGGCAATTACGTGAGCTTGTCATAACATTGCCCAGGTGGAAACCTTAGGTTCAATTGAAAGCTAATACTCTGAATTAATGGCAGATCTTTTGTCGTCGGCTCATTACCTCTCGCTTTTACACTGTCGCCCTCTCAACTCCGCTTAATATCGTCCATTGGCATGGGCGTTCTGGTGGGGACGTCGTTGATCGTGATTATCCCCGAGGGCATTGAAACTCTCTACAGCGCAAACTCCCTCACTCGCAAGCAACACAGCACACGGGCAACCGCTATCGAATGGCAGCACCAATCCCCCGCCGTGGCCACTTTTGGCGCCAACGGAGACAGCGTCTCAAACCTACCCTCCGATACCCCTGTCCCGGGTCTCCTTTTGGAAAGAGACCAACTCTCGGAGTCACAAACACTTTATGTCCGAACGGAGGATTCGACTGGTGAAACAGTTGGCAAGGACACAATTCACGGAGAGGAGGAGAGTTCGCCGCATGCCTGGGTCGGAATCGCCCTCATCAGTGGTTTCATTTTAATGTACCTCGTCGATAAACTGCCCGAATTCGCAACGCCGACTAAGCACGACCGCACCCCTTACCATATCTCCTTGGATAATCTTGGATCTGGGTTGCGGCGGGGTTCCTCCCCTTCGCGCGATGGACTAATTGATGCGAGCCACGCCTCCAGACGTGGTCACAGCTTTGCGACCACGACCGGCCTAGTGATCCACGCCGCGGCGGATGGCATTGCTCTAGGCGCTTCCAGCTCGGATGCCGGGCTCAGTTTTATCATATTCTTGGCGATCATGGTGCACAAGGCTCCAGCGTCTTTCGGATTGACATCCATCCTGCTCAAGCAAGGGCTGTCAAGTCGCACCGCGAGAGCGCATTTGCTGGTCTTCAGTCTTGCAGCTCCTTTCGGTGCCTTGGCCACTTTCCTCTTTGTACAGATGATGGGATCTTCCGGTGCCGATGAGGCAGGCACTCACTGGCGCACTGGAATGCTACTGCTTTTCTCTGGGGGTACCTTTTTGTGAGTCTTCTTTTCCCCGAGGATATTGAAACTTTTATTTATTAATCTATGTAGGTACGTTGCGATGCACACTATGCAAGAAAACGGCCCGGGCTCATCCCCGCGCGAACTTCCTATCAACGGATATGGTGACCGAGACCAGGATGGATCGGACAAGTCTATGAGAGACTTGATTGCATCTGTTTTGGGCATGATCTTGCCGCTATTTTTGCAGATTGGACATGCTCACTGAGTACCATATGTATTGCTTGGGGACATGTCATAATGTTTTTATTTTGCTTGTTCCACTAGATTTTGGAGGGCTTATACCCATTGCAAGATATGGTTTGGAGATGGGTTCTAGGCGAGATAAATTGAGATTAAGGGAGAATATGTTTGAATAGATGTATAACTGCTTTTTGGGTATTACGGTCATAATTGCATGATATCTCACGATCACATCTACGTAGCGTTACTTTTGCCCTATTTAAAGCCTGACAGATCCCCCAATTTTTGATTTCTCCCCGGGGAGGGGGGAGTCTTTATGTCTGGGGGTGATGACAAGATTCGTCAGTCTCGTCAGTCTCGTCAGTCTGAATCATCCCGTTATTCACAGGTTCCATGGTCCAATTTCAGATAGCCGCATGCTAATCCAAGGCCTTGGGTCTATATATTCTCGTGATTATCGTGAATATATCGTGAATATCAAGTTGTCTTTCCAGTTTACAAGATTCAGCCCTGTAGATCAATGACTTGGGTGGGCCAAATCTTCGGGTTTACATTCTTGACGCCTCCCCGTTGCCTCTTTTGCCATGATCTCTCCAAAAGGAAGTCTGCAAACCAGAAGGCAAAAAAAAAGGATGCAGAGAAAAGAAAGTGATCTGTGCTGGATATGCATAAGATTGAGATAATTCTCATCTGATTAGTCCGGAGAGGCTTTGCTTTGTCAGAATCACGACACCCCGGCGCCTCCGCTTGAAATGTCCCTTTTTCTCATCGCCCTTTTTTTTCATTGGAAGTTGATTTTATTTGAATGAAAAGGAACAAAAAAAGAGGGCCCTCGAAAAAAAAAAAGAAAACTGGGTGGCCTCGATACTTTCGGAGGATTATATTGGTCTCACCTCCCTCCTTCCCTCGGCCGTTCACTTTCTCCTCATACCCCCGAACCCCATACTCCCGACACCCGGCTCGCTTATAACCCTATGATCGTGAACGCTAAGGGTGCGTTATATCAATAACTATAACAAGTGGGAGGATCATATTCGACTGTGGCGGTCTCCCCCGGTTCTGTCGCCATGGACTCCCATCGGGCATCATTCAGCGACATGGGAGATGGGTCGAATGCGCACACATCAGACCAGTTGGACCTTCATAACGAAGCGTCCCACGACCCAGTCAGTACTTTCGCCAGTACCCCATCCAGATCACTCAGCACCAAGAAAACCGTTACTCCTTTACCCGCCAACCTACTTCCTTCAGCGCCCGCATCACCCCCGACACCCGCGCCTAGCCCTACCCCCCATCAACGACCACCAACTTGGCACTCGACCGACGATGAAGAGGCCAGCTTTTTGTTAAACCTTCGCATTCACTTCAGTACTTTATCCAACGCCGGAAAACAGAAACTCCTGGAGGGTCTTTTGGACGTATGCGACAGCCAGCAGCTGAGCTTTGTCTCGAGCTACGTCGGTCCTCGGTTGAGGAAAGACCCATTCCAGGTTTTTCCTAATGAGTTATGCTTAAGAGTGAGCTCTTTGGTCGGGTCTCTTACTATCAAGTACTAATGTTGAGTCTAATTAGGTTCTCTCTTTCATCGACGACCCCAAGACTCTCGCTCGAGCATCACAAGTATCACGACGTTGGCGAGAACTACTGAACGATGACATCACTTGGAAAAACCTATGCGAGAAACATGCATACTCAGTGCGACGGGTGCTAGAAGATGAAGGGGATCTCGTCGACCCTTTCACCGCCCATCCCGTAGACTCGGCTTCGGGCGCACGTACCTTCGGCGGCCTGCAGCGGCGCTTGACCGCGTCAAATGGCCAGGCCACCGAGAGCGCACCGGAACTTCCCCGCACGCTTTCCGGAGAATGGTTGCCTCCCACAAGCTTCTCCCGAAGACGCCGGACTCGGCCTGTCTCCTACCGGTCACAGTTCAAGCAAAAATACATGGTTGAGTCGGCGTGGAATAAAGGTGGTCGCTGTACCCAGCGCCACATCACCCCTGACCAGGGTGTGGTGACAAGTCTTCACCTCACTCCGAAGTATATTGTGGTGGCTTTGGATAATGCGAAGATCCATGTCTATGATACCAACGGTGACAACCAGAAGACGCTTCAAGGCCATGTGATGGGAGTATGGGCGATGGTCCCGTGGGATGACATTTTGGTCAGCGGAGGCTGCGATCGCGAAGTTCGAGTATGGAACATGGCTACTGGGTAGGACAGAACCGTCATGACCTTCACAAACGAAAACTAATGCATGATAGGGCGGGGATTCATCTCCTTCGGGGCCACACATCAACTGTCCGTTGTCTGAAGATGTCGGATCGGAACACTGCCATTTCAGGATCCAGAGACACCACCCTTCGGATATGGGATCTGGCTACGGGGACATGTCGCAACGTTCTCGTTGGACACCAAGCCAGCGTGCGCTGTCTTGCCATCCACGGTGATTTGGTTGTGTCAGGCAGCTATGATACGACTGCGCGGATATGGAGTATCTCTCAAGGACGCTGTCTTCGTACCCTTTCAGGACATTTCAGTCAGATCTATGCTATTGCCTTTGACGGCCGACGGATCGCGACTGGAAGTTTGGACACGAGCGTCCGGATCTGGGACCCGCACTCTGGGCAGTGCCACGCCATTTTACAAGGCCATACGTCTTTGGTTGGCCAGCTACAGATGCGGGACGACACGCTAGTAACAGGCGGCTCCGATGGCTCTGTCCGCGTTTGGTCGTTGACTAAGATGGCGCCGATTCACCGTCTTGCGGCCCACGACAACAGTGTTACCAGTCTTCAGTTTGATAAGACCCGTATTGTCAGTGGTGGAAGCGATGGCCGTGTCAAGGTTTGGAACCTAAAGACTGGTCAGCTATTGCGGGAGCTTTCTACTCCGGCCGAAGCGGTTTGGAGGGTTGCTTTTGAAGATGAAAAGGCAGTAATTATGGCGAGCCGATCTGGCCGCACAGTTATGGAGGTACGTGGTGATGTTCCGTTCTTATGGAAATATGTTTTCTAATACATCTCGCAGGTCTGGTCTTTCTCTCCACCACCAGAAGACTACAGCGATACAGCCATTGAGAGTGCTTTAAGCACCCCAGGTCTAAGTTCGGTTGATGACCGCGAGCTGGCCGTTCCACCCCGACGCCGAACCCTCTGCTCCGACCCTCCACCATCAATCCCATTAGGCACTGATAGCGATGCACTTATGCCAGACGCGCCGTCCTAATTTTCTTAGCATTTCCTGGTCTGATCTCACCTGATCTGATTCAATCTGTTTGATTTGATATCCCGCCATCTAACGATTATGCATATCCATTTATTTTTGTCATATTTATCTTCCCATCCTTTTGAGCGCGGTGTGTTTTTGTCAACAGTGGGTGCTTTACCTTCAGAATGAGCTGCCGGCGTTCCTCCCTAGGTGTTTCTAGAGCACCAAGCGGTTGCATATGTGTTTGGTGTTGCAAATCTGTTTGGTTACTGTGTCTTGGTTCCTTGTCCAGACTGGTGATGCCATACTGGAGTTGTGAGATTTTTTTTTTTACCTTGTTTTTATTTCATATCAGCCATTTCGGAGTGTTTTGTGGTTGAGTACATGATACCTTTTTGGAAACACTTGGAATGTGATTTATATACCATCTAGTCCGATGAAATTTATCTCATTTACATTCCCAAAATATCCGAGGTCTGGACCAACGTGAAAAATGACTAAGCGGGTATCCGGGTGCCCGATGTTTGGGAAATGCCCTGCACGAAACTCAACGTCTCTTAGACCTTAACGCGAGCATTGGTCTGAAACACACGAGAACTTTGCTATAGAAAAGCCATAGGCATATCCTCTAAGATGTGCATGTGTTTCGCTCCGACTAGGCAGCCGAGTTAATCCACTTACAACCGATGACAAACGGCCGTCTGGACCTTTGTGGAACCCAGATCAAGTCCGACCTGTCTGTAACTCGTCCCCTTTGCGGTTTCTGACGAAGTATCCGCAAGTATTAGAGGTTCCTCAAAAGATTGCCCGCAGGTGAACAATGGTCTATGGGGGCAAACCAAGTACCGGATGTTACCTGTGTCGCAAACGGAAGATAAAGGTATGTCTCGAGCTTCAATGTTGTGTTTTCGACTTACCCCGCCAATGAGCATGTGCTGTGGCTGTACTATAATGCCTTAGTTGCAAGCATTGAAAGGGCAAATGCTAAAATCCTCCCTTCAAGTGCGATGAAGCCCATCCGGAGTGCCGGAACTGCATTATCTATGGCCGACCATGTCCAGGGTACAGGCCGAATGCTCTCTTCCGCAATGAGACCGGGAAAGTCGAGCGGCTGATGAAGAGCAATGCCATCGTAAATGCCAACAGCAATACCGACAGTCACGATAGCTCCTCAGCATCAGACACATCTATATCGGCCGTCTCGCACCGCCAACGCGCAGGCTCACACGGGAAAAACAATGGCAACACTGCACTGACGCTATACGCTCCCGCTGACTCCACCTGGGAACAACGAGCACTGTGCTACTTCTTCGACCAGTACACCATCAAAGCTGATTGCGAGGACGGCGGACATCTCGACTATCTGCCCCCACTGTACGCCCGCGAGCTCGGGCGTCAGAGCGGCGAATCACCATATTCCTGTTTGCGGTCAGCGGTCGATGCCACGGCGCTGATGACTCTCGCTAATGCTAAAAATGCGCCGTCTCTTATGACCAAGGCGCGGCAGAGGTATGGGCGGGCTTTGCGGGGGTTGCAGGAGGCGCTGGCGTCACCAGCTAATGCGGTTAAGGATGAGACTTTCGCTTCGGTTGTTTTGCTTTCGTTATATGAGGATATCTCAGGTGAGCGGAATGGATTGTTCAGCTCGCATACAGCCGGGTTTGAGTTCTTGACGAAACTCCGTGGAAACACGCAGATTTATCATAAGCGTGGTCGAGATATGCTTACTTTTGCTTATATCCACACGGTAGGTTTGTCGTAAGGTTCTGGCATCGGAACTGACATATGTAACTAAAGATCGGTCCCAGACTGACCGTTGTATAGTATGTCGAAACCCTCGCATTGGGAGATACGCCGCGCTTCGATATTGAATGGGTCCTCGGCGTGCTAGACATCAATAAACCTGTCGAACGGCTCATGCTGGCCGCCTCAAAGCTCTGCCGGTTATTCCTACACATAAGATCGTCGCTAAACCCCCCAGACCAAGCAACCGTCGAATCATGGATCACAGCAGGCCGCGAGTGCGATACCGAACTATACCAGTGGACACAGACCCTGCCAGACCGCCGGCTCCCACTAGTCGTCTATTCAGCACAGGGCGAGCCCCTCCTAACCTACAACCGCATCTCCGACGCCGTGGTCTGGAACTACTACCGCGCAGTGCGCGTGATGATACAGCAGCTCCTCCTCGGCCTTAATAGCACACTTGCCTCCATCAAAGCGGCCAACAAACAATTCCCCGATTCCCAGGATACCAGCACCCCTGAACCCAAGTCTGGGCCCGCTCTCCATGAGCCAACTTTGCAGGCTATCATCCACGAAATGATCACAGACGTCTGCCGCAGCATCCCCTTCGCCCTGGCGGACGTCGACTCCCTCGGCCGCCTGAATAAATCAGATAGCCCGTTGCAAATGCGCGCCGCGGAGGGTTACGGCTTGCTCTGGCCCCTCTGGTATATTCTCTCCTCTGGTCTGCCAACCCTGGCGCAGGTGGAGCTGATTCGCACTGTGCTGTCGCGTGTCGGGTCTACGCTAGGCATTAAATTGGCGTTGGTTCTTGCTCGGGAGGCGGAGCGTGTCCGTGGAGAGCAGGATGAGGTGAAAGGTGAAATTTTTGGTCGGGATTTACCACGCGGTGCGTGCTATCTCGACAGCTAAACTTGATGCATGGGTTTAGGGTTTAAGTGGGCTACTGCCAGGACTTACGGCAAAAGAAATACAAGGTTCTTTGGACATTTTCATCCATCAAAGACTATGCTAGACGAAGACATAATGGTGCCCTACCAGCACCGAGACTGTCTACAATATGGCTAGGTAGACTTCGGGCCAGTCTGTGGATACTTCAGAATCAATAGTATCACTATCCCTTGAATGTGTTTACTCCATGGTGAACACATTCTCCTCTTCTGACTCATTGTCTGATTTCTGATTCCGGTGAGAATCCTTTCTTGATCAGTGCCACCTTCATGCGACAGTGGTCCTCAGTGGCCCGCGATTATGCCTGCAAGGTCGTTGTATATCTCGATGGCGTAGACCTTGTCTTTCATGCGGTACACTGTCGGGCCATCAAGGGGCGAGCTATACCAGGCGCTGTTGAAAGGAAGACCCCATTCTTAAGCTTAGGTGCGTCCTTAGAAGCGCCCCCGCTGGGGTTTGCGGGACCAACCTCGGACTTGCAGCGCTTGAGGCGTGTCTCTTTGTCTCCATCTTTGGGACCAATGGGAATTTGGTTTAGGAAGGGGGTTTCGCGTACGCTTGAAGTTCCTTTAGCACGTTGAATTGTTAGAGAATGCAGGCTCAACTGAGCTACAGCCACAGGGCACTTCCGATCAATGGATTTTGCAAACTTACCAGTGGGAACTGACTTCTTTAATCCAAGCCATCGAATTCTGCAACAAGAATGCCTGGGTCTAGGGTTGTTGTATTGCGAAAGACGCATGCTCTCGTTAATATAATTGTGAGAGAAAAGTGAGAGAAAAGTGAGAGAAAAGCCAGAGATCCTAGGTCTTAGTGTATGCTATTGGGCTCTTTGGACAGTTTCAGTCACTAAATGTTATAAGCAAGCCGTTTTGTACATTACAACCTTTTTTCGCACATACTATTTCATGTTCCGGTGAGCGATTTTTATACTTCTGGCTATAACACTGACGGGGGAAAAGATTGATAAAGAGACATCTGAGAAAACATTCAAAGACTTCTTAAATATCGTCCCTAACAACATCTTAAACCAAATGGATTAGGCCATTCAACCACGTCGTCAAAAACAAAGACCGGCACTATTCTTTACTGGTGATATTCCAGAACCAATAAAACCAGTAGAACCCTCTGGGTGCATTTAATCCATAGCAAACACATTCTCCTCTTCCGATTCCTCGTCCTCAGACTCAGCCAAGAACCCTTTCTTGAGCAGCGCTGCCTTCATACGACCATGATCCTCCGCGACACGCGCGAGGATATCTGCAAGGTCGCTGTAGGTGTCAAGGGCATAGCTCTTATCCTTCATACGGTACACTTCGGGGTCTTCGAGAGGCGAGCTATACCAGGTGTTATTGAATGAGAGCCCTCCATTTGTTCTAGAAGAGAATAATTCGGACTAGAAGACAGTGCAGAACTATCGGAACTTTTTGGTATTGCTTGCGCGAGCTCGTTCGCAAAGCTCTCTTCAGGGAACTCTTGGAAATTGCCACCGAAGCGATTATAACCCATGGCTATCCGGGATCGTAGACTAGAAGTAGGAGTTGTAAGAGTAAATCTATCTTACGCGTGGCGCGACTGTGTACTAGTGTCTCCGAGGTCAAGGATGTCTCTTTGTTTGATATAGTGTATGTGATCTATCTCATATAAGGGTTTTATCGGCAAGTTGATCACCACACAGGGCTGGGCAGATGAGTTCATCCGGCTCTTTGGCTCATCCAATATCTCCAAAAGATACAAGCGGCTATGAGTGGAGTCGATGTCGCTGATTTCATGGCTGTATTCATAGTCCCCGGTGGACATTGCGCGAATCCTGTGTATCCGTGCCAGGGATGTATGTTCTAGATGTGCTAAATCCTAGAAAATCCTAAAATATGTCCCCTAGTAGAGCATCTAATCATTATATTCAAGTAGAGGTCTGGGAATCTACAATGACATCGCCAACACATTTCCAACCGGTTATTTGCTTCGACTGCATTACAGCTATTTATGTATTTATGCAGCACTCCGGCTAATTCGGCTTTGTACTTGGCCGGATATTGACGTCATCGGTATATATATAATTTGAACATTTTGTAGAATCTTTTGAGAATACAGACACAGAGCACACAGAGAATGTTAAAATAGACTGGATCGACGTATACATATAAAAGGGAAGATTCCGTGAACAGATTCGAGAATCGGGAGGTGCGGAGATAAGAGGTCGATCACTGACGACATAGTTCCCAAGCCTTGGGTTCTTCCCAGGTACACTTTGCTTTTTATTGATCTTACACCTCTCCTTTATTTACATCGACAAAAACATACCATGGCTACACAAGACCGTAAACTTCCCCTTGGGAAGATCGAGCCCAACTCCCTGAAGTACTTTCTCAGCTGTGGTTTGGGTGGAATCATCGGTATGTCCAATCTCCCCCATCTCACAACGCACGCGCTAACGATTTGACTCCAGCTTGTGGTATGTACCTGCTCTCCAATACACTAACACACTCAATTAACCCCCAATCCCACACAGGACCAACCCACACTGCCGTCACACCTCTCGACCTCGTGAAATGCCGTCGCCAGGTTGACCCAAAGATCTACACCTCCAACATCCAAGCATGGCGAACAATTTTCTCCAAAGAAGGCCTCCGCGGTGTCTTCTTTGGCTGGTCTCCCACCTTCCTGGGCTACTCCTTCCAGGGTGCCGGAAAGTACGGTCTGTACGAGTACTTTAAGAACTTGTACGGAAACCAGATGTTCCCGGAATCCAATCGCACCTTGGTCTTCCTCGGTGCTAGTGCCTCTGCAGAGTTCTTTGCTGATATGGCTCTGTGTCCCATGGAGGCTATCAAGGTCCGCATGCAGACCACGCTACCCCCATATGCTTCCACTATGCGTGAGGGCTGGGGCAAGATCGTCGCCAAGGAAGGGTTCGGTGGTTTGTATAAGGGACTGTACCCTCTGTGGGCCAGGCAGATACCTTATACCATGACAAAGTTTGCTACGTTCGAGGAGACGGTCAAGCTCATCTATCGCACTATGGGCAAACCCAAGGAGGAGTATGGCCAATTGACACAGACTGGTGTTAGCTTCTTGGGTGGTTATATTGCTGGAATCTTCTGTGCTGTTGTTAGCCATCCAGCAGATGTCATGGTCAGCAAATTGAATGCTGATCGTAAAGGTGAGTTTGTTTCTGTTGGCTGCAGTCCTGATGTATGCTAACCGCCCGTTTGTAGCCGGTGAAGGTGCGATGACGGCTGTGTCCCGGATCTACGGGAACATTGGCTTCTCTGGCCTATGGAATGGCCTGCCTGTCCGTATTGTGATGCTGGGCACGTTGACCGGTTTCCAATGGCTCATGTAAGTGTTTGCTCCGTCCTGGTTTGTGTGTAGCCACGCTAACATTCTGCAGTTATGACTCTTTCAAGGTGTTCCTTGGCCTGCCCACCACTGGAGGTCATTAAATAGCCATGGTTCTGGAGGGTGTTTGGGTTTTTTCTGGAGCGATTGTATATAGGAGTTAAATGGATAACTAAACAGTGGTTAAACAATCTTGTGTAGACCGCCTTTGATATCGGGGCAGAATAATGTTGGAGGTCATCGCATTGTTGCCGGCGACGTTTAGCACTTCTTCAATAGGCTCACCATTTCAGTCAATCGACTCACTCGCGTTACCGACGACTAATCGACGACTAATCAAGGCTAAATATATTATATTCCGCTGCCTTCCATCCGATCCTTTACTTCTTCTTCCTCTTTATCTCTCACATCACCCCCTTCGCATCGTGCTTTCAGTCAGCTCCGACCAAGGATTCTAATCGGAATACCGCTGCGTCCATAATCCAGTCACTCTACACACCAATACCGACCTAATCCTCCTCCTTCACCAAAATGGAAGCCTCCCGCCAACCCTCCTCCATCCCACCAGCCAATCCCCCCAGCGTGGAGATCGCCTACAAGCGCAAATGCATAGCGCTGAAGAAGCGCCTCGCAGAAGTCGAAGCTGAAAATGAAATCATGCGAACCCGCAACCACCGCGGCTCCCAATACATCAAGAAAATGCGCCTGGAGACCTGCATGCTTCTCGAGCGTCTGACAAAGGTCACCGGCATGGCCGATGAGGCAAAGACCGGAGCTGCAAACCCGGAACTGCGTGCCCGCGCAGCTGCCATAATGAATACTGGTCCACAGGGTGGAGCTGGGGCGCTTCTGGAAGATGATACCGAGGGTAGCTCTGATGAGCAGCCGCGCACGGTACGTTATTTGCGTAATTCCCCATCTTGTTCGATCCTTCTCCTGCCCAGCTCATACTCTACTCCCTTCTCTCTCAATCCGAGTGTCTGCTGAACTCGAGCTAATGTAATTTTTTGGGGGGTATAGCCGGAGGAACGTCCCCTACGCGTTAAGCGCTCCCGCAAGTCCACTGCCGCCGGAATCGACGGTCAGGATGATGACCTCCCCGCTCATGATGGACACCCCGAATCTGCAGATCCCGCTGGTGCAGCCCTCCCCCGTCTCGCGCCGGCTCCAACACAGGAGTCTCTTACTCACTCCTTCCGTGTGCAGACAGGTAGTGGTGGCTCTGCTGATCAGACTCCTACTGCTGAGGCTGGTCCTGAGTCTGGGACTACGCCGATGGATATGGATAAGGAGGAGGCTAAAGTGGCTAAGGTTGAGCAGTCTTAGTCGTGGGGTTGTGTTTTGTCGTTCTCTTTTCTTTCTTTTTTGGGCTTTGCAGAGTCGTGACTGAGATTCTCTGTTTATTCGGTTTTTTTTTTGTGTGAGGGTTTTAAGCATCGGGTTCGGACGCGGTGCTGGTCTATTTTGCTCATATGTTATTTTTGTTACATTTGGTGAGCCTTGATTGGGCTTTTCCACTACTCTACGGTCTCCTGGTGGCCATGTCTGGTATGAAATTCATCTGAGAAATCACATGCTGAAAGCATGGTTGAAGTAACTGGCTCCTCCCTTGTAGCTTTTTGATGTCGTTTATCTAGACTCTCTTATGCATAGATGTAATTACTATTAGTCAAGGCAGTAGTGACTTTGAAAACGATGCATTTCTGTAGGTTTCTATCTATTAACATTTGGAAAGGCTCACAGCACACTGGTGGTTTGATAAAATCTACCGACTGCGAATACTTTTGGTTCCATTTGAAGAAAGCACCTGCAGAGTCATTCCGCTAGGTCAATAGCGTTTTGATTCGGTTGACACTATCTGTACAGATTCCAAACGCCGTTTTCCCATGAAAGAACCCACCTTAACTCCAATACCAGTAAAAAAAGACAACACACTAATAGAAACAAGAATGGGATATGATTATCTGGGTATGAATGTCTTCTGTCATGTACAGTTGAAGACATAACGAGTTTGGAAAGATGATACAGATAAGGGGTATTAGACTCGGTGGGTGAGTTTGGAATCCCTATGCGGTTAGGATGTCATCGAGCGAGTTCTATTAGGTGTTTGTCCCTGACATGTGTTCCTTGTGCGTGTCGATGTAGAATCGGGGTTGATTGCATCACAGGGCACATAAGAAATATGCCGGTAACACATATCATGAAAGACAGGTATTTTCGGCACAATTGGTTGGTCGAGACGAGGGGCTGCTTGATGAGCACATTCTTTGTCACTCTAGTCTACTCCAGCGTAGAGATCAACAACAATGTTGAGTGCAGCCACGAGAATCTCGGCAGCGATCAAAACGATGACTGATGTTCGTTAGATGAGGTGCTGTTAGAAATCGCAACTGCGGGGAGACTTACCAATCCATTCGAGATACTCGCCATGGCGATGTGTCAATTGATCCTTTAGGACTGCAAGAAGATCCGCAATGACATCCAATCGTTCTGTCAGCAGACCAACACGCTGATCCATCTCCAGGTAGCTTCGGACGGCCTGGTAGACAGGTTCCAACTGCGGCTCTGCCCAGAAGAGTTCTGGACTATCAAGCACAGACCCCTGCAAGTGAATATTGATGCGGAGAATGAAGAGCTCTCCAATCTGCATATTGATTTGCCGGCGGGTGAGATTGACGCTACCGGTTTGTGCAATCTGGGCAGGTAGCGGTGCGGTGTCTGTGATTGTTTCTGACACAAGATCTTCGAAAAGTGAGGTCTTGACCGATTGAGCCAAAGCATGAGAGATCGCCAGCTTGACCATGTTGTTGCGCGGATCGCGAAGAGAGATGAAGTCGTTGTATATCCTGGCCTGGTACTCGCGCGCATAGTAGAAATTGAAGTTCTCAATCTGCGTGTCGTCAGGACTCAGTATGGAGGTAGCGAATTTGGAGATATCGGACAAGAATCGGGATTCTTGCGCGGGCGTCATTCCCCATATTACGACCGTTCCGTAGTCGAAGAGGAATACCTCGGGTGTGTGAATTGTGGTGTCGATATCAGGAGTGTCTTTGACGACTACTTGTTCGTTATCATTTGAGTGACTGCCCTCATCGTGCAGATCAATCAAGTCCTCTCTTCTAGTCTTCTTATTGTCTTCAACCTCCACCGCACTATCGGAGTATCTCCTTTCACTTGGTCGTCTCTCATGGTGTCCATTGGCATTTGGATCTTGAAATAACCGTGCGTTCTGCTTTTCTTCGTACTGATAATCGAAAGGAGAGTAGACGCATTCATCATACAGCTTGGGGTTGGCTCCGCGAGTCTTGCTCCGCGACTTGAGGAACTTGATAACGCCCTCGAGTCGATACGAATTGGCCGTGCAATAAGCTGTCACTCGAGGTATGCGGTCGCGGTCAGCTTTGCCTAGTCGTGCAGCGTGGCTTCGTGCGGCGGGATCTTTGATGCGAGTGATTTGTGAATAGACATCCCGAGGGAAATCTCCATCAGACCCCTCTCCTTCTTCTGTCACAGGATCCGGCAGCAGTTTAAGCTTCTGTGCTTTTTTAGTTGTTCGCTGCGGTCCAATCTTGGATGCTGCATGTGGTGGATTCGATGTGGGGTTGAAGGGAGCCCCATGGCTATTGCGACGACGAAGCTTGCTGTTCAATGCTGAGAGCATGGGCTGGCTGCCGGGACGGGGCTGGCCTCCCTGGACGTTGACATTCTGCACGGGAGGTGAATCGGTTTGCAAGGGTTGGAATGTAGGATCGGAAGTAGATTCATTGCTGCCGTAGGTGCTGATTTGTGTGAGCGGATTGAAGGATACCGACCGCGGCGTCCGATTTGCCCGTGGTGACGTATTGGAGGCCGAGTTCTGATGCTGCGGCAGCAGAGGAGAATTCTCTGCAGCAGGCGCCATGGCAAAAGGAATGAAAGGTGTAGAGTTAGACGCCAAGCGCCATGGAGGGGATTGGAGGTAAAAAAGACAAAAAGGTGAAAAAAAGTCGAGGTAGCTGGCCAAGGTTGGAAGCTTTCGCACATGTTCCGCCTTAATAATCTTGGAACTTGTCCGGGTCCGGTCCTTGGCGCTTTTGTATGATTTTCACTTTTGACTCTTTTGATAGGTTTCATATTTCGATACTTCAATAATTCGATATTTATATGTTTATTTAAGATTATGACAGGTCTTCCTTTTAAATGGATTTATTGCCAGACATTATTGGGCATAATTGACTGAATCTTATATACATAACTCCCCAAAGTTGAATTGCAAACCAGGTTCTACTCCCAACACCATGCAACCCCAGTAACATTCGCACAAAAATCCTTTTCTCAATGACTGATCACAAAAATGCTGCAGTAGACGCGGGGTTGGTTGCATGTCCAATCGACACCGTCTTTCGCTTTGCGCCAATAGGGCACCGAAAACCCCCGACAGGAACATCAGTCGAAGCGGGGGAGCATGTTCCCCCATTGACACTAGCAGGTCGTAGATTTAACTTCCAGCTATGTTTCAAGATATGTGACACTGAACAAAATTCGCTTTTGATGACCGTACAACGTTGGTCGATTTCACCGGCGAACAAATCCAGAAGGACCAGCTGCCTTCTGTCGGAGCCCATTGCCCTGTGCTATGGTACGGGTCTTCTGACGCATGCTACTCTGGAGGTTCCGTCCAGCCTTGGAAATTTTAGGGGCCAGCACGGGCTTTGAGGACTTCTTTGTGGACGGCGCATCCAGCACCCGGATAGAGACATCCCCCATGTTGATATCCTTGGGAAGCTTGTCCTGCTTATCCAGGAATCGCAACTTATTTGACTTCTTCGGCATGGCGAATTGATCTTCAGCCGGGGGTGTGGGGGGGCGAATGGAAAACTCGGCGTTCAAAATGTCATCGGGAAGCAAAGCAGGGAGAGCGGCTCGTCGTGCATCTTGGGTAGTTGTGCCTTGGAGAGTAGCCGTGCTTTCAGAAAGCATGTCATCGGTTGGAGCCTCCTTAGGTTTGACAATGGATTTGGCTTGCAACTTGCGACGCTCATCGAGCTTCCGTCGCTTCTCTCTCTTCAGTTGCTCTTCTCTGTAAAAAAAAACATTAGTTTGAAGTTGACTTCACCAAAAGTAAGAAATCACACGTACAATTGCTTGGCTGCTTCTTGCTTCTTAGCTTGCTCCTTCATTTTCAATTGCTGGGCAGAGTTATCAATGGTCTCTGGCGCATCATCGTCACTATCATCTTCGTCGTCGTCCTGGGTTGGTGTTTCCGAAATTTCTTCCGGCTGTGTTTCGATGGGTTCAGGTTCCTCGCTACCGAATCGGATCTTCTTGTTTGCAGGTGCTTTCTCCCCATTTACGCTGGATTTCTCTGCTGGGGTATGTTTCGTAGCATCTTGATCGGCTCCAGTAGCCTTCGGATCGCTTCTTCTTCTCCGCTTGGTCTGCTGGTCTTCGGTCTTAGTGGCGCTTGCTGACTGTGCCTTGCGCTTGCCACTCGCAGTTTCGGGCGTAACATTTCCTCGTCGAGTAGTTGTCACCATCTTGGAATTGGTGGCAGAGGTGCCAGTGGATTGGGACTCTTCTTCTTCGGGTTGTCGCGTAAATAGACCCTTGGCAGCAGTGACCAAGTGAGCAAACATAGAGCGACAAGAAAATCAAGGAATACAGTAATAAACCCAAATGGGGGAAACGGTTCCTTGTGTTGGTCAAGAGATGAAGCAAAATTAAAAAATCTCTCGGCGATCAGGATTTCCCGAGAGCGGAGACGATAAGCAACTCCGCTATCACTTCACTTCCTCTACATCTACTTCACCTTCATCATTGGGTGAGCATGTTGCGTCTAGCTTCTTTTATGTTAATTTGAGTTGTTTCCGTCTTCTATTGAATATTGACTTTATGCTTTATAAAACATTATATGGTGCCAAATATCTGTGCAAACAAGAAAATTGTCCTATTAGATCAAAAATATATAAAGGCTGTGTTGGTCTCCAAAGCAAGCAAAGCCAAATCTAAGGTGTATTACCACACAACAACTTATGTTTATTATTTCCTGTTCCGATTTCACTAGATAGGCCTTTATTAGTGAGCATAAATGAATCATCCTTGGAATTTAGTGCAGTTGGTATATATTGGAGAAATCAATCTCCGATGCATTGCTCTTGATAATAACCAAAAATTGTATCAATATGCTTCTTTCTATATACTGATTCAACGACAAGTCTGCTGGGAAAGCTCGTGGCAAAAGTAATCCTTTGGTCCCCTATAGTGACTAAGGTCAATTGAAGTAAATACGGCAAGAAATTGAAATTTGGAAATGTTGAATGTTCAGTCAAATGGCATGACCCTTGAATATCGTGCAACCAGATGCAAGTGATACCACGCTGTGTATAGACTCCATTAAAAAACCAGAACGCTGCAGAGTCCCGAGTTGAACGCCTAGACCGTAAATAAAACCCTGGGAATCATAATGCAAAGCATAGCAAGCAATGTGCCCACCGAATCATTACTCCTTGATACCGTATAGGTTCTTATAGAACTCCTCGTGCTTGCGGACACACTCGGCGCGTTCCAGGGCCTCCTCACGAGACCTGATGAAATCATCCTCCCCAGTAGGGCTGAGCTCTTCCCACATCTGATTATATTCGTCGATATCATTGCCAGTCATGGCCCACATGCTCTCGCGCTGACGTTTGTTGCGCTCACGGTCCTCCTCGATGCGCTGCTCGATCTGCTTCTTGTCAAGGCGTAGCTGAGGCTTCTCAGACTTTGACTTGCTGCCTCCCTCGGCGCCTTCCTCCTGTTCAAGATCTAGGTGGGAAGGGTGAGAACCGCGGTCCTTTAGAGCAGCGTCGATTTCGGCTACGGTTTCGGCGCTGAGGACTTCCTTCGCCTGGAGACCGTTCAGGACGTGGCGGACGTGCTTGACATTGGCTGCACCGGTGCCATCAGGGGGAACGACCGAGTCGACCACGCGCAGGATGTCTCGCTGCATCATGCGCACGTATGGGAGGTAGTTTTCTTTGATGGCCATTTCGCAGAGGTGTTCAATAAAGTACATGATGTTTGCACGATTATTCATGTTGTTCTACCATACAAAAGGTCAGAATGTATCAAACACAATGGAAATTGGAACTCTTACCCGTTCCAGCTGCTCCAGGATGCATGAGTGAAGATCTTCATCGAGGTCACGGTACTTGAGCGCATAATGGGCGGCCTTCTGCGACGATGTGACGGCGGCGCTGAGGTGCTGCAGCTGCGTAGTGAAGCGCATGCGCACCTCAAAAGGATCGATCATCATTTTATCTTCCGGTTTTTTGGCTTTGTCGAGGGTAGGAAGATCGGTAGTCGTAGACATGATAGGTGGACCACAGGGCGGTCAGTTTTAAATATGACAGAAAGATGTGGGGTTAAAAAGGGCGGTGGGGTTTTGTGGGCAAAGCCACAGTTTTATGTGACTTAACGGGAATAAATGTGAAGCAATTTATCTGACATTTACTTAAAGTGAATATCTGTGAAGATAGTAACAGAATCAGAATATACAAAGCAATATGGTAGGAAATATCATCAAAGAGAATCCCGCCTCAACGAACTACCAAGACTGGAGGTATCATTCCCATCAAGCAAACCAACCTCTTCAGCCTCAGTATGATTTTCGAAACTCCGGAATTCTTCGTCTCGAACGTCTTCTTCACGGCGGAACTCCACGCCATTCAGCACCGACCAGACATCTTTCTTGGTCAGTAGTCCTTGTAGAATGCCCTTGTTGGCAAACAGCACATAACGCAAGCCAAGACGTTGGAACATTCGTAAAACAATCAAGAAAGTGATGTTACTGTTCAAGGTCATCGGTGTCTGGTCCATCCATGGCCGTAGGTCAAGGGTATCAATAGGGTCCGCAAACGGTTGATGCGAGAAGAAGACTTGTGTCTCCTCGGAGAGGTTGCGGGTGGTAGAAGAGGTTGAGTATTTCAGAGCAAAAGAAAGCTCATTGCGAGTGATATAGCCTAGCAGAGTGGGACTCGAGGTGTCTGAGACTATGGGAAACCCGCGATATGTAGTATTAGCTAGCAGACTGCGGATCGAGGCAATAGTGTGACCAGTGGCAGTAATGACGCTGATATCGTCCACCGTTGTCATGACCCGGTGAGCAGATACATCTGGCGGAGTGGTGTCATCGCGATGGTCGAGGAAAGGATACTCGTTTAGTCGAATCCATGACTCGTAGATACCTCGCTTTCCAAAGATGTCACCACACCACTTGGATAACATCACGGCAATCATGATCGGGATCACATAGGTTAACGCGCCAGTCAATTCAAACATGATAACGACAATTGACAAAGTCATTCGAGTAGCACCACCAAGAGCAGCAGCAGCCCCGATAATTGCGTACAAGCCAGGTGTGACGCAGGGAATGTCTGGTTCGCATTTGCTAAACATGAATGCATTCGGATAAGATTCTTGCCACAAGCGGACTATAATGCCCAGAGAACGCCCATAAAGAGCACCGATAGCGACCGAAGGAAGAATAATACCCGCAGGAATCTCAAGTCCAAATGTCATGGAAGCCAAGAAAAAGGCTAGTAAAGCAGCTATGACCAGGTAAATAGCCACGCCAATTGAGGCAGATCCCGTTGCGCATAGACCAAATCGATCATATGTCACACTGTTGCACTCTGCGAATAGCGACTGAACAAGCTTTGAGTTCTGAGCCCGCATGAAGTGATTTGGATAATTGACTAAAGCTGTAATGAGAGCCACGACAACCACTTCGATGATTGGCCGGGAGGAAGTTCGAGCTCGCCTCCACTTGGTGATTCTCGTATTCAGGCGGATCAGGAATGCGCCGTAGAGGCCGCCAACGATGCCAAGAATAATGAATGGGATAATTTCGAAGCGATGCCAGCCTCGAGTGTAGGTTACTTGATACAACACAATATTACCTGTCCGGAATGGGTTCAAGGCTTGCAGGGTAACAGCTGCTACCATGGCACAGACAAAGCTTTGCCACATTGTTTTGTCTGGGAAATAATATGAAAGTTGCTGGAAAAATCAGCGAAGTAGATAACAGGATATTGACAATAGCTCATACCTCCAAACTAAAAAGAACACCTCCGATGGGTGCCCCGAATGCGACTGAGATACCTGCCGCGGCAGCCGCTGAAAGGACCTCTCGTTTGCGTGCTGCGAAATGAGTGAGCGGACGGAGAAAGACAGAGAATAAGCAACGTACCTTCATTGCCTTTCAGACTCTCGAAAGGCTTCATCAGAATATTCGCGCAGCAGCATGCAACATGCACAAGTGGACCTTCTTTGCCTAGCCATAGACCGGATGCTACAGAAAGGCACTGGCAATTGTCAGCAAAGATGCCTTTTAATAAGAAGAAACCTGACTCACCAGGCCCAATGATTTAATGGCCAGCGTCCAGGGCCCCATGAAATGTCGGATTACAGTTCCACCTAGGATCGTTTTGATCTCGGGGATACCACTGTGTCGAGCGTAAACAGCATAATTTCGCACCAGAAAGCAAGCACACGCAGCAAAGAAAACCTAGATATTGTCAATAGAGCTTTAAAAATAAGACACGGAGATGTCATTACCGAAAACACAACATAGAAGATGTATCCAACCGTATATGTTCCTGCATTGGAGTCCCCTCCTAACGCATTCCCCCAAGGTGTCCAGTCCAGACACTTGGAGTGATCTATACCAAATCGATTCAGCAGTGAGACATGTAAAGACTTGACGCTATCGGCCTACCATCGAGACCCCAGCAGCAAAAGCTCTTGTTTAGATAGAACTTGCCACCTCCACTTCCATTTTTGCAAAACCCGGACTTCAAATCACCCAGCCAATTCGTTGCAATATCGATAGAAGCAGCGATTATTCCTACAGCAATGCCAGTCGCAATCAACACCAACCAGACATTGCTTGCATCAAGGAGTCGACGAGCATGGCCCAGTATACCCTGTCCACTCGAGTAAAGAAGCCGCTTCCTTTGCCGCTCCTTGGTATACTCATAGATCCAATCGATAGCGGTGAAGTCGTCATAACCCACACGTCGTCCCGGGCCTTCCACGTACCAGTCTAGTGGCGTACCATCTTTTGATCCTTCAGCGCTGCCATTGAATCCTATCGGCGCATAAGGATCGAGGGGCGACGCATCGCCATTCTGACCACCTTGCGGCGCCGGAGAGCCAAAGCCAGTATCCGATGCGCCGGCTGGAGGGGAGAGAAGGCTGGACAAACTGAACCGTGATCGTTGTTTTTGTTTTCGCTTGAAGGAGATCCTAAATGAACAGCCTGGTCAGCACCATAATGAAAGGTGGAGTCTTCAAGACATACGGCTCATTTAGCCCCTCGGCTTCCCGGTTCACTTCTTGAGGCTGATGGGCATCCTGATTAGCTCCGAGTTGAGTCCCGGAATGGCCCTCACCACCCGAGCCCTGGCCACTTATTGGCATCGTGAAACATAAATGAACCGCGATATCGCGATATTAGCATTTCCTCGTAAAAATGACCTTGTTTCAGGGACAGCTTTGTTGGACGCGCAAGTGTGGCGCAAGCTCCGCGACCGAAAGCGGTGTGATCCACGTCTAGGCGGGGCTGCGCCACAGGCGGCAGAAAGAAAAAAAAGTTGGAGCGAAAGCCGATGAAGCGGGATTTCTTCTTTTATTTCAAACTTCACAGTTCCTCTTACGACCGGATTAAACATGGATCGGAGGCCGGTCTATGAGAGGACTCTTACTGAGTCCGAACTGCTCGAGCAGCTTCCGAGTGGAATCTCGACTTTCATTCGGACTGCATCGGGGACTCAACACCTCCACGCTCTTGCGCTCGGCGCATTAAACAACGAATTTACAGAGAGCATTTTCAGACTCTATGAACCGATTTTTGTCGATCTTGCAGCTCGATGGCTTCAATCGGATTTACATGCCGACTACATTCATGTATTAGCGGCATTCGCGCAGATTTTACCATTTGCGCCGCATCTGCGGTCGCTTGCCAGTCAATATGCCTCATCACAGACTGGACCTTTGGCGGCTTTGGCCGTATCGAAGAAATTAACACTGCTACAGTTGGACCAACCTAGCATTCGACTTTTACTCCTCGCCCTCTTCCGGCTTCTTTCGTTTGATCTTGAAACCTTCTCTCCCATCGTTTCACCGCTTCAACTTCAGTCCCTCTTCCAATCCCAAGACCGAGTGACACGATACCTTGCTGTACGATGCTTTGCCTTATATATGCACGCGGCGGATGCCGCAACTGAAAAGATGGTCCGCGTCAATACTGGGACCGAACCTATAGAAGGAGAGTGGGAGGGCACTCTGATCGATTACCGTGTGCTAGGATTGTGGGAAGAACGGCGATGGGAGACTCTTGGAAGAATTATCCAGAACGAGAGGTCTTCCAGATCAGAAACTAACACTCTAGCGTTGGTCGAGAGGACACGGGAATCTTTCACAACCAAGACCGCAGAGATCTGCGGAGTTTTGATTCCCAGGTTGAAAGATACCCCCTTGGCTCCTTCCTCTGTAGTCAAGACTGCGACTACAGTTGAGAACCTGCGCCGGATTGCAGGGTCGCTACTCGGATACAAACCCATCCTGTTGGTCGGTTTGCCCAACTCCGGGAAGACCTCTTTGATTAATGACATTGCTGTCACAATGGGCCAAGCTGAAACTATGGTCACACTTCATCTAAACGAGCAGACAGATGCAAAGAGTCTCCTTGGAATGTATGCCACTTCATCCGCCTCTGGATCCTTCTCTTGGCAGCCCGGTGTATTGACCAAGGCTGCGCGCGAAGGCCGCTGGGTGTTGATTGAAGATCTTGATCGTGCTCCCTCTGAAGTAATGGGCCTCATTCTCCCGATCATTGAGAGGGGGAGCTCACCATCCCAAGCCGGAGGGAGCGGATCAAGTGTGCCGAGGGGTTCAAAATTATCGCAACCATGAAGTCGTCGTACAACATTGCTGGCGAGGAGATCGCACCGAGCACTTCAATGCTTGGAAGCAGACTTTGGGAGAGAGTGCAAGTCAAGTCTCTTCCCGTGGATGAGATGCGTGATGTCATCCTGCAAAAGTTCTCCTTGCTCGAGTCTCGTGTGCCAACTCTCATGAACGTTTACGGACGAGTATGCTCTGCATTCCATGGAAGTCTAGCAATCAAGGGTTCCCAAGGTCGTACCCCAGGCTTCCGCGATTTGATCAAGTTGTGCAGCCGTCTGCACAATCGTCTGCACCGCATGGGTGCGAAGACTGGCTATGAGCCCACGTCAGAAGGTACCGAGGATGAAATATTCCTCGACATTGTTGACGTGTTCCTCAAATATCTGCCCGAGAAGTCAATGCAAAGCACTCTCGCCGCCGTTGTGGCCGAAGCGCTTCAGATCTCCCCCCAGAGAGCGCAATACTGTCTCACTGAACGCACCCCCTCTTATACTGACAAGAACAATAGCGTTCTTCTCGGTAGGGAAACCTGCAACAAGATCAAAGTACCAAGTGGATCTGCATTGAAGCTTGCCGCAGCAGCTTCGCGATTTGCTCCCACGCGAGCGGCATTGACCCTTATGGAACAGGTAGCGGCTTCAATACAGATGGCAGAGCCCGTTTTACTTGTGGGAGAAACTGGTATCGGAAAGACCACAGTCATTCAGCATCTTGCATCTTTGATGCGTCAGAAGCTCACAGTAGTGAATTTGTCACAACAGAGTGAAAGCACTGATCTGTTGGGTGGTTTCAAACCCGTCAGCATCCGTACAATGGCAGTGCCAATGCTGGATGAATTCACTCAGCTCTTTGAACTCACCTTCTCGGCCAAAAAGAACCAGAAGTTCTTGTCCTCGATATCGAAGAGTGCCGCATCTTCCAATTGGGTACGATTGGTGACCTTGTGGCATGAAGCCGTCCGTCTTGCAAATGGCGTGTTCAATCCCCCGAATGCCGCAGCTGAGAATGGCGATGAACAGCCAGCCAAAAAGCGCAAGCTGGATTCTCCCAAATACCAGCACTTGCGGCAAAGATGGGAGAGCTTCGCGACCCAGCTCGGAGATTTCGAGGCTCAGGTCTCACAAGGTGATGCCAAATTCGCCTTTGCCTTCGTCCAAGGTAAGATTGTGAGAGCTTTGCGAAACGGCGAATGGGTTCTCCTGGACGAAGTGAACTTGGCTTCCCCTGATACCCTTGAGAATATTGCCAGTCTTCTGCACCATGGGAGTGAGGGAACACCCTCTGTTCTTCTCTCCGAGGCCGGCGATGTTGAGCGAGTCTTCGGCCACCCAGAATTCCGTATCTTCGGTGCTATGAACCCTGCAACAGATGCCGGAAAGAGAGATTTACCCCCTGGTCTGCGTTCCAGGTTCACCGAATTCTATGTGCACTCGCCTGATAGCGACTTGGACGACCTATTAGCCTTGATTCAGAAATACCTCGGGGACTTGACAATCAGTGACCAGCGGGCTGTGCCAGACCTCGCACAGCTTTACATGGTCACCAAAAAGCTTAGCAATGAGAACAAGCTTACCGACGGAGCTGGACAGCGACCCCATTTCAGTATCCGTACTCTTGTTCGTGCTTTGATCTATGTTATCGATCACGCACATGTCTATGGACTACGTAGGGCAATGTTTGAGGGTTTCAGTATGAGTTTCTTGACCGTGCTGAGCTTGAACTCCGAACAAGCTTTGATTCCTCTGCTTGAGCTTCATATCTTTGGCAACGCGAAGAACGCTAGGTCTCTTCTCGGACAGACCCCTCGCCCACCGATGGATGGCAATGATTATGTGCAATTCAAGCACTACTGGATGCGCCGGGGTCCTATGGTTCCGGAGGAGCAACCCCACTACATTATCACCCCATTCATCGAGAAGAATCTGAAGAACTTGGTCCGGGCCAGTTCAACCCGGCGATTCCCCGTTCTTCTCCAAGGTCCGACCTCAGCCGGAAAGACGAGTATGATCGAGTACCTGGCAAAGGTCTCTGGAAACAAGTTTGTACGAATCAACAACCACGAGCATACTGATCTGCAAGAGTATTTGGGATCTTACATATCCTCGGACGATGGAAGCCTGCGTTATCAAGAGGGTGTGTTGGTGGAGGCACTGCGGAACGGTTATTGGATTGTGCTGGATGAGCTGAATCTGGCACCTTCTGATGTTCTTGAAGCCCTTAACCGACTCCTCGACGACAACCGCGAGCTTTTCATTCCCGAAACTCAAGAAGTTGTTCACCCGCACCCGAACTTCATGCTCTTTGCCACACAAAATCCCGCTGGTCTGTACGGTGGCCGAAAGGTCTTGTCCCGTGCCTTCAGGAACCGTTTCCTCGAGTTGCACTTCGATGATATTCCAGAAAGCGAGCTGGAATTTATCCTGAAGGAACGTTCTCAAATCGCCCCCTCCTTCTGCACACGGATTGTTGCTGTCTACCGCAAATTGTCCTTGTTGCGCCAGTCTAATCGACTCTTCGAGCAAAAGAACAGCTTTGCCACTCTGCGTGATCTTTTCCGATGGGCTCTTCGTGATGCTGATGATCGCGAGCAGCTAGCAGTCAACGGTTACATGCTTCTCGGCGAACGTGTTCGCAATCCCCAAGAAAAAGCTGCTGTCAAGGCCGTGATCGAGGAAGTGATGAAGGTAAAACTGGACGAGGATGCTTTGTACAGCTCCGCAGAGCTAGAAAAGAATGCTCCTGAGATGAGCGAGCTTCCAGCCGGTGTCGTGTGGACCAAAGCCATGAGACGTCTATTCGTTCTCGTTTCAAAAGCCCTCAAGAACAACGAGCCGGTCCTTCTTGTCGGAGAAACCGGTTGTGGCAAAACGCAGCTGTGCCAGGCCGTTGCTGAGGCTTTCCGACGTGAGTTGTTCATTGTCAACGCTCATGTGAATTTGGAAACCGGCGACTTGATTGGTGCTCAACGGCCTATCCGAAACCGAGCTGCAATCGAGAAACAGCTCGTAGATGACCTTCAGATGCTTCTTCACGGGCAGCTAAGCGTCGCGTCTTTCGATGACTTGAAGCAGGAATTCACAGCATTGACTGCGGAGCAACGTCAAGCCAAGGATCAGTCTCTCTTGCAGAAGATTGAGAAGAACGCCATTCGTTGCAATGCCCTGTTTGAATGGTCCGACGGAAGCCTGATCACCGCCATGAAGACCGGTCAATTCTTCCTTCTTGACGAAATTTCTCTCGCGGATGACTCCGTCCTTGAGAGACTTAATAGTGTTCTGGAACCTGCTAGGTCGATTCTTCTCGCCGAAAAGGGCCCCGTTGATTCAATGGTTGTGGCAGATGGTGGATTCCAATTCTTATCCACTATGAACCCCGGAGGTGATTATGGAAAGCGTGAGCTTTCGGCTGCTCTTCGCAATCGTATGACAGAAATCTGGGCGCCTCAGCTGTCTGAAGATGAGGACATCCTGCCAATTCTTTCACAGAGATTGAACGTGAAGGAGGAGAACGTA